CGTCCAACAACTCGTAGTTCCTAGGTGTCTCCTGCAGCAGTGACAGCGCCAGCTCTGCTCGGCCCCAACTGGGGAGTGTGTAGACTGCCAAAAGTCGTCTGACCAGGCTCTGCAATGTGAACCACGGAGGAGACAGAGTGGTTGTCAGACCCCTGAGACCTTCTCCCTCAATCTTCTTACCCTCTGCGTGGGACACCGGGTGCCTCGTCTACTCCCAGCACCTGTCTATCCAGCCCATCCCAGCAGGGAGTGGGCTCAGGGCCTTTGTCCCATAGGCGTTGATGGAAGGGCTCTAGACGCTGGCGCTGTAACTCAGTCAGAGCCCGTGCCACATCACCCCCATGCTGGAACAGCGCCTGTAGTGACCCTTCTTTCGGCCCGAAGCCCAGAGACTGGAGCTCCTGCACCTGCAATGGAAAGCAGGGAGACGTTAGGAGGGAAAAGCTAGCAAGCATGCTTTGGTGCCCCCAACCCCCCACACCTCCAGCATAATGGTACCTTCCTCCTCCTGGCACGCACACACTCCTCTACAGCCTCATCAAGGTTGCCATGACGATCAAGCCAGGCTTTCCGGGCTTCTTGACAGGAAAAGGCACCCAGCTCTGGATCCTGCTGTCCAGCTAGCTCAGCCACCATCTCCAGGACATAGGACAGCTCTGAACGCAGCCACTGCAAGGGCACCTCGGTGCCTGAGTATTGTAAAGCTGAGAAGATCTCTTCTGGACTGGCACCTGCAGATTCCCCTTCCTAAAGAACAGTTACACCCAGACAACAGCAGAGGAACATTAGAAGGGGGGGACTCTACCCACCCTTAGCCCAGTCGACAGTGGCTAAGCTGGGCCATACTAATCATCATGTGACCACTGCACAGAAGGGTAACTGGCTTCTTCAAAGTATTCAAGGTGAGGCAGTAACAGTAACAAGTCTTATAAAAATGCTAGCCAGGTGGTGGTGGTGGAGCACGCCTTTGATCCCAGCACTCGGGAGGCCAAGTCATCCTGGTCTACAGAGCAGTTTCAAGACAGTCAGGGCTGTTACACAGAGAAATCCTACCTCAAACAGCAACAACAACAAAAGAATGCTAACTAACAAGCTGGCATCTTTCTCCCAGAGCTCAACCCCATCTCATCCCAGGTCCAATCCTCAGCCTCACCTGGATCATGCTCACCAGCTGGCGACTTTCCATCCGCATCTTATCTTGGCGGTGCTTCTCTGGGTCTCCGCGGGAACCAGACGGGGAAGCACCGAGGCGTTGCGGGGAGCCAGACTTTGGAAGTTCCTTTTCCAAAGAGCCGGCTTGCGGCTGAAGGGCATGCTGCACTGGGATGAGGCTTCGGGTTCGGTTGCAAATAGCACAGACCCAGTCAGAGCCTGAGTTGCAAAAGGTGCAGTGATCACAGTACCACACTTCAGACTGGGCAGGCGAGAGCAAAATGTCCCCCTGATGGAAAGGTAGAGAGGATTAGCCTATTGATTGTGTGACTAAGGTTCATGACAGAAACACAGAGACTTTGGGAAGCCAAAGACAGGGGATATGAGAAAGAACAGCTTGAGGTTAACAGACACAAATATAAAGAGTCAGGAAAGCCAGGAACTGGTTACCTTAAGGGACTTGTGGCAAATACCAGTATCATGGGAATCTACCAGCAAGCTGGGAGGCTGGGCCAGCCGAGGACGCTCACACATGGCACACAGCACAGCTGCTGCCTCATTCTCAAAGGTACAGCTCTGGCAGGCCCACTGATCCCGTGCAGGCTCAGGTTCTAGGCCCCTGGTTCCTTGGGCACCCTCATTTCCCAGCACCTTACAGCTTCTGGGCTGACTACAGGCTGCACAGAGCACTGCCCAAGGCTCGTTAGGGGTGACACAGGTAGGACAGTGCCAGGGCAGACAAGCATTTGCAGTGTCAGGGGAAGAAAGAGAGCTATCTCCCAGAGCCAGGGAGGCTGAGTAGGGCCGTGGTTGGGATGAGGCAGGTAAACTGTAACAAAAGAAGACATGGTCAGCTGAGGTGGAAGTCAGTACCCGAGTCCCTCACCCCTGTGAATCTCACATTGTCTAGGTTATGACATGTAGTTCTGGCCTCTGTGATTGCTGGTCTGTCTAGAGTACTCTTATACCCACGTGATTCAATATTTAAATGATAGACTATAGGTAATTTCTTCCAGGTAGCATCTCTTAACATAGTACCTTAGTTTTATCATGCTAGACTGTTTATAACACAGAATGAGGGGACCTTTTAGACAAGACTGTATCCATCCACTACCTATCTGTGTATCACCGCAATCTGTCTATTGTGACTGCCACTTACTTAGTGTTTTTGTCTGTAAGTTCCTTGAGGGCTAGACTGGCTGTTCTCTATGAAACAGTCTTTAATGGAGAGCCCGGTATATAATAGACACTCTGGTAACCTTCTGTTCTCTTAATTTCACTCTCACTGAGAAAAGAAAGCCTCTGACCTAGAGTTTAGGCTGAGGGTCTGGTGGGTCCCAGGCAGGGTCTGGCGAAGGTGATGAGCACGAGATGGGTGTCCGTGGAATAAAAGGTCACAAGCTGGGCAAGAGGTCTGATTACAGGCTGGACAGTGCAGTGTGCCTGGGGCTGAACCACAGAGAAAACAGGGACAAGGGGTGGGCCCTGAAAAACACAATCAAAAGAGTAAAACTTCAAAAAGAAAACCCATATTCATACACCAGTAGATAAACGTACACTGCAGTCAAGACGTGGAATCACACTATGACCCTATCAACAGATGAATGAAGAGAACAGGCTACACTCAGTAAGTAGCAAGTTTATATCAGCACACATACACTGGAATATTAGTCTCAGAGAAGAAAATCTTGTTACTTGAAAGAAAATGGATGAAACTGGAGGATAACATATTGAGCAGAACAAGTCAGACATAGAAAGACAAATACCATCTTTATTAACCCCAGTCCCACCCCAAAATGTAGCACTGGCTGGCTTGTAACTCACTATGTAGACCAAGCTGGCCTCAAACTCACAGAGATCTGCCTGCCTCTGCTCCGAGTGCTAGGATCATGGAGTTAGGAATGACTGTGAACCACCATGTAGGTTCTGAGAATTGAATCTACGTTCTTTGCAAGAGCAACAGGTGCTCTTAACCACTAAGTCATCTTTCAAGCCCCCAGAGTAACTTCCTTAAAAAGACCAGGGTATGAAGCTGGAGAAATGGCTTAGCAGTTAAGATCAAGTACTGTTCTTGCAAAGGAGCCATGTTTGACTCCCAGAACTCATGTTGGGCAGCTCAGAACTGTCTACAACTCCAGCTCCAGGGACATCAGTAGCCTCTGGCTTCCATGGAAACCTGCACCCAAATGCACATATCCATACAACACACCATACTACCCTCCCACGCCACTCCCAAACTAAAAATCAGAATCAAAGGAGAAAAGACCAGGCTACACTTAAATCTATTATGGGCTAAAGCAAGTCACAAAACTGTTCTTTGCAACATCTGAACCCACGCAGGAGGGCGGGTAGACTTTACTCTTTGGAAATAAAATACAAATACAACAATATAAAGGACCTAAATTTGCATCAGGCTAATCTAATACTCTCTCCCCTACAAGACCAGCCATACCTGGGGCAGAGGGGAGGGGGCCAGGAACAATCTCTCTCAAAAGGGGGCGAAACTCTGAAAGCTGCAGCATCTGTGGGAGAAAGCAGAGAACGGACAAGCGTTTGTGGCACAGACCCCATAAACCCAGCCCCCTCCCTTTATTTAACAGCGCCCTTTCTGCCTCCTTTACATTGTCCTCAACGCTGTCTCTTAGCAGCTGGTCCAGTGCCTTCGGTCTCGGATGAGTGTCCTGCAAACAACATTGAAAAGAATTCCCACCTTGAGCAAAGTTCTCCTTGTAAGCTCCTTGTAGTAGAAGCTTCCAGAACGCGGCAGCAACTGAATTCATCAGCATGGAGGGGTCCAAAGGTCCATGAATTAGGCTGAGCTCCCAGTCTAGTACTTAAAGACCTTAGGATGGGTCAGAAGGTCGTCTTACCTGCAACAGCAAGCTGAGCTCCGTGCGAAGCAGCAGTACTTCTAGTGTGACTATGGCAACCTGGTATCCATCTGGCTCCTCCTGCCCTTCAGGGAAACTCAGTCCATCCGGGCGCTCCTCGGTGTAGCCATACAACCGCAGCACATCCCGGCCCCCCCTGCCACACATTCATAATGCGGTCACCACACAGCAGGCCTGCTAGGCAACAGAGCTGGTTCCCCACTCAGCACACCCTCAAGCCCCTTCTGGTCAGCCCCCCCAGCAATAGGTCCCCTTCTCCGATAACGCCCAAGGGTTTCACCTGCACGGCATCCACCGTGCTGCGAAAGACAGGGTTATTAAACTTCACGGAGCGCCAGTACCGAGGCCGCTGTGGGCTGAGGAGGTTACGACCATATTTTTCCAGGATGTTCAGGGCCGTGGACAGAGTGTTGAGGTAGTTTCGAGGCTAGGGGCAGTCAGAAAAGCAGAGTTAGGAAGCTAGCCCATCTGGCCTCTGAGCCTAGGTCCCCCTCCGTGGCGCGCCGGGCACACTTGGCCTCACCTCCCCAAAGGCGTTGCAGCGGACCAGGCGTCCGGCGTCCAGCTGCAGGTAGCGGGAGGCTGGTGGCAGAGAGGTGGCCAGAAGCGGCGTGAGCTGCTCCAGGGGAAACACCTGCGCGGAATCCTGCCTCAAGGCGCTCGCCAGCTCCTCGCGGGCCGCCAGAAAGGCTCGCTCCTCCTCTCCCGGCATCCCGAGACCGGAGGCAGGCTCAGCTTCGCTGTCCACCAGTGACGGGCGCGCGGCGGAGGGGCGCGCGGCGCCGCAGCAGCCGGGGTCACTCAAGCCACCGCCCCGCTCAGCCCGGGCCGCGGCCGGGGTTGCCGGGAACAGGAAGAACTGGCCAAGAGGGCGGGACTGCGGGCCGCGTTAGAGGAAGGGGCGGGCTCAGGGTGACGGAAGGGGTGTGATCAGGAAGGGAGGCCAAGTTGCGGCCAGTGAGGAAGCCGCTCCTCCCACCGTGCGATGGAACCTCTGCCTGCGAGTCAAGCTCTCCGCCTTCCCCTCGGCTATCTCCGCCCCTTCCGGAGCGGTGCCCCCGCCCCCGCGTGGGGGTTGGTCTGTTTTGCCGAAAGCTTTCCTATCTGTATTTCCACTGTGTTGCTCAGTTCCCGTCCCCAGCGGGGAAGTTCCACCTTGCCGCGGACCCTGGCCGCCCTTAGCCCGGCTCAGGCGAGTCCCGCTTTCCTCTAGTCCTAAAGGCAAGGCAGTCCCCTTCCCCCTGCTCCTTTGCATCCTGCCAGGCTTTCCCTCTTCCTACCCTTCCTTCCTACTCTCTCGGATCCTTCTCGGCCCCCTCCTTAAAGTCTAACCTCGGGGGGCCCCATCCCTGGACACCCCCTTTCTTATTTCCGTCCCACTGTCCCCTAGTCCAGCACTTCCCCGGGACGGCCCTTCTGCAAGCTCCGCCCTTCTCGATTGCAGCCGCAGTTCCAGCCTCCGCTGTCCCACGCTCCCCTAGCCCCTCCCCTGGACCACCCCTGGGCTGGCGATTAAGCCAACACCGCCCTTCCTAGTGGCAGCTGCTTGGGAATGGCTGAAGGACTTACAGTTAGTGGCCTGCCAGGAGGAGGGGGAAAAAGAGGGAAGGGGGCGTGGCTGAGGGGGTGGGTCTGGGCCTGGAGAGTGAAAGCGAAAGCTGGGGCGGCTAGCCCCGAGAGAGTCTACAGCCAGCAACTGGGGGAGCATGGCCAAGCCTTGTGGGGTTCGTCTGAGCGGAGAAGCCCGTAAGCAGGTAAATGGGAACCGGAGGCCAGAAAGGGGTGAGGAGTCGTAACGAAGATAAAGCTGGCTGCTCCTGGGCGCCGAGGCCTTGCGTGAGAACTCCCGGACCTCTTTAGGGCTTTCAGTTCTGCTAGGGGGTTACCTCTGCCCTGTCCTCCAGCCAGCCTTCCATTGTGGGACAGGCTTGAGCTTCATTTGGAGGGCACCCGGCTGCGGGGGACGGGGGGCTCTTATATTTTTACAACCAAACCTCCTAACCAGCGTCTGGCTACTGCTGTCTGTACAGGTGGATGTCTTCAGACAAAATCTTTTCCAGGAGGTAAGTCTCTGGATCCAAGCGATTCGACCCAGCGTCTTAGCGCCGTACTCTAAGGGCCATAACCTTTGAGTAACCCCCCCAGTTCTGCCTAGTTTTGGTCTCCTAACCTTCAGGCTTACCAGGGTGATCTAACGATTGGTTTCAACTCCTAATCTGATCGCCCTTAGAACTCAACTCCCCCACCCTCTTGACCGGGAGGGAAAGATGGTGCCCAAAACACCCACAGTCCTATTTCTGCCATGCGTCAGATTGGGCAAGCCCCTTTCATTCCAGGGCTACGGTTTCCTCATTTGTGAGTGTGAGACTCAGTAATTTCTAAGTTAGGCCTCCTTGTTGTACATCTCATCGGACTTCTTGTATGATGGTGTTTCTAATGTAACTGACAGGCTGATGACTTCCTCTCCACATTCTTGCCGCGGAAAATCATATCCCTGAGTCAGCTTTTGCAGGTGAGTAATATGAAACTCCTCTACCCCGTCGCCTGGCATCTCTCCCACCACCTGTCCTCTGACAGCTAGTACCGGCGTGCTGGGAGCTTAGGCTGGCATAAAGCTTGAGCCTAGGTTAGGAGGGAGAGAGGAGATGGCCTATGAGGAGGGAAAGCAGGGCTGTGGCTGGTGAGGGGAGGAGGCTGGGCAGTGCCTGAGAATAAATTCTGCAGGAGGATTCCCTCAATGTGGCCGATCTCTCCTCTCTCCGGGCTCCTCTGGACATCCCCATCCCAGATCCCCCACCCAAGGATGATGAGGTAAGGCATTCGGTGTGCAGAGCTTGGAAATGATACTACTGTAGCCTCCTTGAGTTTTCTAAAGCTGCTTTCCCCCCTTTGCCTTAGATGGAAACAGACAAGCAGGAGAAGAGAGAAGGTAATGGAGGGCGGTGGCTGGGAGGGAAACTGGTGCGTTGATGTGGAGTAGCAAAAGGCCTGTCTCCATCTTTTCATAGTCCCTAAGTGTGGCTTTCTCCCTGGGAATGAGAAGCTTCTGGCCCTGCTTGCTGTGGTTAAGCCAGAAGTCTGGACTCTCAAAGAGAAATGCATCCTGGTAAGCCTGGACTGGAGGAAGTGGGAGAAAACAAGGCAGAGCTATGGTCAGTTCAGGTCTTTCTCCTGGAGACCTAGTTCTGAATAAGGAAACTTGCTTTTGTGTCCTGGGTTTATAATATATATATGTGTGTGTGTGTGTGTCTATATATACATATATATATGTATATATATATGCTTTTTTAGTTTTGTGTGTGTTTATGTGTGTATGCATGCTCACAGAAGCATATGTAAGTGTGTTTTCCGTTGCATGTATGTTTGAAGGCCAGAGGTCAACATTTGGAGTTGTTTTTGTTTTTGAGGCATGATTTCATTGAACACCATCACCCCCAACACTGGGGTTACGGTGTATTCCCCTGTGCCCTGCTTTTATGTGTAAGCTAAGAATTGGAATTGAAATCCTCCTGTATTCCTAGGAGCACAGCTGGCATTCTACCCACTATCCTCTCCCTTCGGGGTCAGATAGTTTTTGTTTTCTCATGCTTGACATCTCTCTGGTGTCACAGTGGTAGCTGTAAAGATGAGAGACTCTCAGAACCTGTCATGTCAGCTACACAGTATAGGCGATCAGATACAGTGATTCAGTTTGAGCCTTAAAAGAGTCCCAGGTTCAGACCCTGACTCTGTCATGTATATAGCTCTCTTAGACACTCTGTGACTTACTTGTTTCCTGGGTTAAATGGCTACAGTAAGACTATAGGCTGTGAAAGATTGCCAATGACTAGATGAGGTCAGTAGTCTCATCTAGGAGTATGGCTCCTAGCACGAAATAAGTGCTCAGTTAGACATAGCTGTTACTAAGAAGTAGCGTAATAGGGAGTCAGAGGCAGAAGAATCCATATGTAGGTGCTCCAAGACATCTAAGACTGCATAGAGAAACCCTGTCTCAACAAACAAAAGAATCTTCCACCTTGCTTTGGAAGGGAGAGATGGCTCAGAGGTTAAGAGCACTGGCTACTCTTCCAGAGGACCCAGATTTTAATTCCCAGCAACCACATGGCAGTTCATAACCATCTGTAACTCCAGCTCCAGGGCATCTGACCCCCCTTTTTTGGCCTATGTGGGCACCAGAAATGCATGTGGTGCATAGATATACATGAAGCCAAAATACCCATACACTTAAAAAAATAAAGTAATAAGAGGAAATAATTTCTTAAAGTGGCATAATTGGAACCCCAAAGGTTTGTTGAATGAGTATTCCTTTTAACATAGGTAATCACATGGATCCAGCACCTGATCCCCAAGATTGAGGATGGGAATGATTTTGGGGTGGCAATTCAGGTAAGAATTGGTAACTGAAGACGGGGTAGGGAGAGACTTGGGAGTGAGGGGTGGGAGCAAGGTTTAAACTAGGAGGTAGGAGGGAGAGGGGAGATGAAGTGTTTTCTTTGCATCTTATGTCTTTATAGGAGAAGGTGTTGGAGAGAGTGAATGCTGTCAAGACCAAAGTAGAAGCCTTCCAGACAACCATTTCCAAGTGAGAGCAGCTACAAAACCACAGGGACACTACAGGGACATCCCTGTAGGAGTCTCAAAGCTAGGCAGTTCCGTCAGAGTGATGGGAGACTGAGGGGCGGGGTGTGATTGTACGTTTCCTTTAACACACACATTTCTCACTTCTTACAGGTACTTCTCAGAGCGTGGGGATGCTGTGGCTAAGGCCTCTAAGGAGACCCATGTAGTGAGTGCATAGGCCACCAGCCTTTTAGCTGAGGCTGGCTAGGGGTGGAATGCAGGTCCTCTTTGTTTTGTTTTTGACAATGTGGGAAATATTATTCCAAAAAGCAAAACTGATTAGAGCTCTAACATCCTTGACCCTTTTCTTAATTCTGTGTTTGTTGGGGCTAAGATGGGCTTATCTTCCAGTTAATAAGCTCTTCTCCGTGTGTGAAAATAAAATTAATGTCCTGACCTCCCCTGGTGCTCACTCATGTTTGCTTCCTTCTTCCCAGATGGATTATCGCGCCTTGGTGCATGAGCGCGATGAAGCCGCCTACGGGGCGCTCAGGGCCATGGTGCTGGACCTGAGGGCCTTCTACGTGAGTGTGGAGCCAGCTCCTGGGGGGAGAGGATGGAAGGGTGTGGGAACCTAACTTTGTTCTTCTGCCTTCCTCCAGGCTGAGCTTTATCATATCATCAGCAACAACCTAGAGAAAATTGTCAACCCAAAGGGTGAAGAGAAGCCATCTATGTACTGAGCTAAGGATTAGAAGGAGAATAAATGATTTTATACTTTATGTAGATTACCTCTGTTTACTCATAGATCATTTATTGCGTGCCTCCTCTGTCTATACGACAAAGAAAGGCGAATATGGTAGTGAAAACGGGAGGGAGCGGGTTGCTTAGAAGGATGGCTCAGCGTTTGAGAGCACTAGCTGTTCTTCCAGAAGACCCAGGCTAGATTCCCGGCACCCACAAAGTGGCTGGTAGTAACTCCAGTTTCAGGGGATCTGACGCCCTCCTTTGACCTCTGCAGGTACCAGATATGCACGTAGTACACAGAGAATACATGCAGTCAAATCACCCTTACACGTAAAATAAAAACAAAAAATTAAAAAGAAAATGGGAACTGGGCGGTGGCGCACGCCTTTAATTCCAGCACTTGGGAAGCAGAGGCAGGAGGATCTCTGTGAGTTCGAGATCAGCCTGGTCTACAAGAGCTAGTTTCAAGACACCCTCCAAGCCACAGAGAAACCCTGCCTGGAATAACCAAAGGGGGGGAAAAAAAAGAAAAGAAAACAGGAGAGGGTGCCAGGAAAGTGAGGTTGAGCTTGAGGTCCATGGTGTTCTTAACAGTTCCTTCCAAAGAACAGGGCAGAGCTGGCCGTGGTGAGCACACCTTTAGTCTCAGCACTTAGGGGGCAGAGGCAGGGGAGTCTGGAGTTCAGGGCCACCCTGGTTTATATAGCAAGTTGAAAGGTAGTTTGCATGCCTTGTCAGCCATGCAGGTAACCGTAGTGTGGAATATACAAAGGTATTTCCATCTGATTTCATGGGGGCTTCATGGTAAAAGGGTATTTGGGCAAAGCTGTTGGTGGAGGAATTAGGCTTTGGATAGATGGGGAAGCTTTCTGGCTATGGTATGGAAATTACGAACAGTTGGGAGCTGAGAGCAAGCTTGGAGGGAGAATGAGGTTATTCTGAGGTTTCTCAGTGCTGGCAGAGAGAAAAGGTCTTAAAAAGGCATTAAATGGGGGGCTGGAGAAATGACTCAGCAGTTAAGAGCACTAACTGTTCTTCCAAAGGACCTGGGTTCAATTCCCAGAACCCAGATCGTGGCTTACAACTGTCTGTAACTTCAGTTCTAGGGGACCTGACATCCTTATACAGATATCCATGTAGGCAAAACACCAATGCACATACAGTTAACAATAAATAAATTATTTTAAGCCGGGCATTGGTGGCGCATGCCTTTAATCCCAGCACTCGGGAGGCAGAGGCAGGCGGATCTCTGTGAGTCCGAGGCCAGCCTGGTCTACAGAGTGAGTTCCAGGACAGGCTCCAAAACAATACAGAGAAACCCTGTCTCGAAAAACCAAAAAAAATTAAAAAGGGTATTAAATAAGAACATATCACCACCACTGATGGGCATTATGGGGTGGGGAGTTGCCTTTTTATCTCTTGCAATCAGTTTCTGCTTTACAGCTGTTGGGATTTGGGTGTTTTTCTTGTTAACATCTTTGTTTTTTTTAATTTATGTGTCTCTGTGTGCTTGTGTGAATGTATTCTTCATGTGTGCTGATGCCTGTAAAGACCTGAAGAGGGTACTGGGTCCCCTGAAGCTGGGGTGCACAGGTGGTGGTGAGCCACCTGATATGGTGCTGGAAACAGAAGCTGGATCATGACTGCCATGACTACCCTAGGCTGGCCTCAAACGCACCACGTAGCTGACACTAACTTTGAACTCATGTCCCTCCGGCCTCCACCCTCTGAGTGGTGGGACTGCAGTTTAAGATGCACTTCTGAGGTGATGGAGATAGTGGTTCCTCCGCTGTGTGGCTTGTTAGAGACTCCAAGGAACTTTTAAATCCAGGCTCTTTCTTTCCTGTCTTAAAATATGTCAAAAGAATGCGCTGCATGGCAGGAGAGGTAGCTCAGCGGTTGAGAGCACTGACTGCTCTTCCAGAGGACCTGAGTTCAATTCCCAGCACCCACATAGTGGCTCACAACTCCAGTTCCAAGAAACCTGACACCCTGACACAGACATACATGCAGGCAAAACACCAATGCAATTAAAATAAAAAATGATAATGGGTTTGTCAGTTCGGAATTCAGTGCTCATATGTTATTTATCCGTAAAGGGTCATGGACTTGTACTTTGCCTTAAAGGTGCTGCACCACATTAAGTAAGCCAAAGGCCAGAGCTTCAGCTTGGGAAGATTAGACCCATGCACTCATTCTGTAGATGGAGCAAGGCAAACGTTTTTGTCGCCAAGTTTCTCCGGAACAGCCAGCTAGGAGCCAGCCCTCCACCTAGCTGTCTTTGCCCGAAGCCTGTGGGGACAGACAGAGCGGGTAAACAGGAGAAGTCAACCTGCAATAAATCACAAGTCGGAACTGGGTGTGGTGGCCCGGGTTCTGTAAATTTAGGGCTTTCCCTTGAGAGATAGAATCAAAAGCACCCATGAGTTTGAGGCCAGTCTGGGCTGAGACTTCGTGTGTCCTCCCTCCTTAAAACAACAAACAAAACGCAAAGCATAAACTGAGTAGTTTAGCTAATAAGCCTGTAGGCTATCTTCTTTCCTTTGCCCTAATGCGTTCTTTCCAGTTCTCTTTAGGCCAAGGCAAGCCAAGACAAATTTTAAAATTTTTTGATTGGATAAAATAAGAACGTCTTGCCCTATCAGAAAGCACCACGGAGGCGGGACTCTTGGCTAGGGTATGACCTGGAGCTGGCCTGCCAGCAAACGCGCCTGCCCGGAAGTGATTAGAGGAGGCGGGGCTCTGTTCCGTGGGTTGTGTTTGGACCAATTCTAGATAGTGTTGGGGGTAGGCTGCGGAGAGAGGTCGTCTAGAGTTAGAAGCATCTTATACCTAAGTGAGGAGGCACAGATCGAGGCCAAGCTCGGTTGCCGTGGTTGGGAAGCCACACTGGTTGGGATTCTGCGTGCCGTCAGGCCCGGCTCGCTATGGGGGAGGTGGAGATTTCCGCCCGGGCCTACGGGAAGATGTGCCTGCACGCATCTCGGTACCCATACGCTGCTGTCAACGGGTTGTTGCTGGCACCCGCGCCGCGGTCGGGAGAATGCCTCTGCCTCACCGACTGTGTGCCCCTCTTCCACAGCCACCTGTCCCTATCGGTCATGCTGGAGGTCGCGCTCAATCAGGTGCGGCCTCGAGAACCCCGCCCCCGTCCCTACCCACCGACCCCCGCAACCCCTTAGGACCCTCAGCCTAAATGCATGCCCAACCCTCGGCCGCAGGATGCACCCACAGAGCCAGCAGCACGGTTTCGTTACCGATGGCCCCTTTCTCACGACAGGTGGATGTGTGGGGCGCACAGGCCGGTCTGGTGGTAGCTGGGTACTACCACGCCAATGCTGCCTTAGACGACCAGAGGTGAGTTGGGTAGCTAGGGACGAGAGGAGAGATGATTGTGGCAGGTGTGGGCGAGGTGCAGATGGACCAGCGTCATCCCTTTGATTTTTTTCATCGAGTGCTTAGCAGCGGGGTTGTACACCAGACGTTGTACCGAGTACTAGGGTGAGTACTAGGGACATGAATATGACAGTCGAAGGACACTACCTGCAGTGGGGGTGGGACAGACGGCTGACTTTCTACGTAACAGACTGCTCTTGAGTGAGGCGCTTCCCAGGCGCAGTAAGAATTTAGCAAGTGCGACTAGCAACTTAAAAAAGCCCACCGCTTTTAAACGGGGCAGTGGTGGTGCACGCCTTTAATCCCAGCACTCTGGTGGAGGGGGGGGCAGAGGCAGGCGGATCTCTGTGCGGTGAGGTCAGCCTGTTCTACAGAGGGAGAGCCAGGACAGGCATGGTTACACGGAAAACCCCGCCTCAAAAAAACTAAAAAAAAAAGGGGGGGTAACAAAAAAGCCCGCCACCACATTATACATATATACTACACACACCAAATACATTTGATTTTAAAATGGGTTAAATTAGATCTATTGCACTTTGCTTCCCCTCCCTGAACTTAATACTTCTGATGTCTTTGCATCTCAAGATCTACCTCATCTTAACAGCTGTATAGTATGAATGTGGACACAACATAATTTACTTAGTGCTATAAACATTGAAGTTATCTCCAGTATTTAAATATATATTTAGTTTTGTTTATCGAAACAGGGTTTTTCTGCATAGCCTTGGCTGTCTTGGAACTGACTCCGTAGACCAGGCTGGCCTTGAACTCAGAGATCCACCTACCTCTGGCTCCTGAGCGCTGGGGTTAAAAGTGTGTACCAACATGCCCAACTATTGTCGTTTTTTTTTTAATGGAAAAAAGAAAAAGATATATTTAATATGACCATACTAGATAGAGGACAAAGAGGTCCAGTAAGACATGGCTACTCTTCCCAGGTCTGTCTTCTGGGTCTTGAAGAGAGATGAAAGCTTAAATAGAGGGACAAGGATATGCGTATCTAAGCAGTGAGGAGCAAGGTGTGGTCCTGCCACCACCGACCCATCTTTGGGCTTCAGATTTGTCCTGTAAGGTCACCTGACAAGTCGTTAGAACTGTGTGAAGTCCCTTTATGTATGCAATCCTAAGAAGGTGAGAAGCCTCTGAAGGCTCACCACTGTATGTGGACACCAAGCAGTGTCACTTAGATCTGTTTTGATCATGGTGGCCAGATGACACAGAGGAAATCGGGGTCCCTTTTGGGGTTCTTAGTCTTATTAACAAAGTAATTGCTGGGTGGTGGTGGCGCACGCCTTTAATCCCAGCACTCAGGAGGCAGAGGCAGGTGGATCTCTGTGAGTTTGAGACCAGCCTGGTCTACAGAGCGAGTTCCAGGACAGAGAAACCCTGTCTCGAAAAACCAAAAACCAAAAAAAAATTTAAAAACTCAAGGACAGTTTTATCAGAGCTGAAAAGACCCAGAGCAAGAAAACTGCTTTCAAGTCATACCATTTAAATCAGCATGAAGGTCAGACTCATTGCAGAGAAGCAGGGGATGTTGAGCTGTATAGAAAGAGAAAGGAAGCCCAAAGAATCAGAAAAATCACACTTAGGTTCTGACCAGTATCCAAAGGAAAAAAAAAAAAAACAGGAAAAAAGTTTTATCTTTCTAACTCAGGCCTCAGAGAGTTGGGCAGACCCAGCCAAACTTCGTGGTGGCCCCTAGGAATTACCTAAATTATTTTAAGTTAGCATATAAAGTAATTGGTTCCACTATGGCATTTTCACACGTAGTTTTTTGTTTGTTTTTTAACACAGGTTTTTTTTTGGGGGGTGGGTTTTTTGTTTGCATTGTTGGTTATTTTGGTTTTTCTTCTCTTTTTGTTTTTTGTTTGTTTTTGTTTTTTCGAGACATGGTTTCTCTGTATTATTTTTGAGGCTGTCCTGGAATACGCTCTGTAGACCAGGCTGGCCTCGAACTCACAGAGATCCACCTGCCTCTGCCTCCCTAGTGCTGAAGTTAAAGGCATGCACCACCCAGATCATATTTTATTCCTTTAATTTTATTCATTTTATTTTTATGTGCATTGGTGTTTTGCCTGCATGCTGTGTAAGGGTGCTGGATCTCCTAGAACTGGAGTTACATAGTTGTGAACTGCTATGTGGGTGATCCCATGGCAGTCACTTTGTAGACCAGGGTGGCCACGAACTCACAAAGATTTGCCTGTCTCTGCCTCCCAAGTGCTGGGATTAAAGGTGTTCACCACCACTGTCCAGCCCCACATTTTATTCTTTTTTAAAAAATATTTATTTATTGTGAATACAACATCCTGCCTCCATGTCTGTCTGCAAGCCAGGACACCAGATCTCATTACAGATGGCTGTGAGCTGCCATGTGGTTGCTGGGAATTGAACTCAGGACCTCTGGAAGAGCAGTCAGTGCTCTTAACCTCTGAGCCATCTCTCCAGCCCCACATTTTATTCCTAATTGTCCTTCCCCCAGTACCTTACCCTGTTCCTCTTCCCCACTTTTGCAGGTCACAGCCATCTCACCTAGTAAGTTATTATTTCGTGGTTTGCCCTTGCTGTATATATACCACGTTATAATCGTATATCACGTGTATGCACTGCTCCCAGAGGCCAGAAGAGGACGTTGACTTGCTTGAGACTGGCTGTGAGCTGCCGTGTGGGTGCTAAGATTCAAACCCAAATCCTCTGGAAGAGTAGCTAGTACTCTTAACCACTGAGCCATTGCTCCAGCCCTCTTGGTTTTAATTTGAATGATTAAGGCAAATTACCCTCCCCAAAGCCTACTTTAGATTTCCACTCTCATCAGCAGAATCTGAGCACCTGTTTCTCACAGCATTCAAGCATCAAGCCATCGTGCGTCCAGCAGGCCCAACATTCCCAGGCCAGCTGCAGGGCAAGGCTACAGCTGTGCGCACATCTAGGAGACCTGGGTCTGCCCTCAGTTGGCTCCTCACTCCTCTGATCTTCCCCCTACACAGCCCCGGGCTTCTGGCCTTGAAAATCGCCCGGCGAATTGCAGAATTCTTCCCTGATGCGGTGCTTATTATGGTGAGGCTTGGGTTTTAGGGTGGGGAGGTGGCGAGGAGGTGGGGAGAGCATCCTAAGGCTCTCACCCCTGTCCACCCAGCTGGATAATAAGAAGTTGGTGACTCGGCCTCGTGTACCTCCAGTCATTGTCCTGGAGAACCAAGGTCTTCGATGGGTGCCTAAGGACAAGAACTTGTGAGTGCCCCGCTACCCTATCTCTCGGAAGCCCAAGCCTCCCCAGGCCTCCTTTGTCGTTTTCCTGCCCCATGACTTAGCCAGTCTTTAAGTCTGGCTCCACTGTCTGACCTCCGCGTTCTGTTTTCATTTCAGAGTAATGTGGAGAGACTGGGAAGAGTCGAGACAGATGGTGGGGGCACTGCTGGAGGGCCAGGCCCACCATCACCTTGTAGACTTCGACTGCCATCTTGATGACATTCGGCAGGACTGGACTAACCAGCGGCTTAACACTCAAATCACCCAGTGGGGCGGATCTACCAGTGGGAATGCCTGAGCCGGAGGGTCAGAGTACAATAAAGAGATGGGCTGATGGGCAACCATATATTTATTGTGTTTGGAGGCAGAGTAAGGGGAAACCCCAGCAGGAAGAAGACTGGGTACCCATCACAGAACAAGAGGGGCTCAATAGATCATTCCCTTTGTTTCTCCACGGGGCTTCTTGAGCTTCTCGAAATTCTTCAGGATGATGTCATATAACACAGCCTACGGGAACACGGAGTAGTGGAGGTCAGCCACAGGCCCCCAGTGGTTCTGTGTCCAGTTTCTAGCTTTGGAAAGGCTTATCTTGTCATCCTCCACCCCAAGTCTGCTTGGTCAGAAATTGGATGGCCTGGGAAAAGTGCCCCCCCCGCCCCGCCCCGGCCCCTCCTCACATAAGCATTACGGATCTCCATAACCATCAGCCGGATGTCCTGGTACTCTGCCTCGTCCAGCTCATGCACCAACTGCCGATAATCACCCTGTAGAAACTTGGGGTTAGTCCTGACGTGAAATGTGCCTTCCCCAGCTCAACCTGACCTGGGCCTCACCTACCACATGGGGCTGCTTGGCTGCTTTGGTCACCGCATCTCCCCTCTCTGAGAAGTACCTGGGGGAAGTAGAAGACGTGTGGGGGGGGGGGGAAGCAGGAGGGAGCCCAGGCCTACCCCCAAAGGCAGAGTGTGCTGGAGGTGTAGTGGCCAAGCAACTCACTTAGAGATTTGAGTGTGGAAGCCCTCCAGCTTGGTGTGAAGGCTGGTCATCAGCTCAAACACCTTCTCCTGGGAAAGAAGTGAGTTAGAAGGGAGCGCCGGTTACACAGGAGGGCTGTGGGTGGAGGGGCAGTGCTCTTACCTGGACAGCCACTCCAAAATTATTCCCATCCTCTATCCGAGGTATCTGTAGCTGCAACCAAGTAGTGACCTTGGAGCAAAGGGAGGTGTCAGGGTTTTACCACTGCCTCCTTCCCTCCCCTCCACACGCCCCCCCAAGTCCCAGGTTCCTAGTGTTCCCTGACTGCCACAGTGAACGGGGGAATGCCACGTCCATGTTGAGTCCAAGGCTGTCTCCCTTGCTCTTCCCTCTCCTGTGTGCAATCACTGTCCTAATTGGCAGAGACCAAGAGGCCGAAGCCTGAAGCAGGGATGAAAGTGAAACTCACCAGATTGAGTTGCTCAATGACATCCTTGATCTCAGGCTTTAGGCGCTGCAGGAGGGCCACAATCTTCTCATTGCAGTTCACTGGGCCACAGGGAGGACCTGGGCGGTGTGCAACGGGTCAGTTAGTGACTGAGCTTGTGGGGGCTGGGAAGGGGATTTAGGATGCAACTCGGGGAAGTTCGGAGACAAAAGCCTGTCTCCTCCCAGATTTCGAATACCTTTGTCTTCATCTTCACCTTTCTTCTTGTCATCCTTCTCTTCTTTCTGTGGGGAGGAAGGCAGGACTGAGGCTGGTTTCCTCTGTGGCTGGCCCCCTCCCAGGCCTCCCAACTTGCCTCCTGTTGCTTCTTCCGCTCCTCCTTCTCCTTCTCCTTGACCGGATCAGGTATTGGGATGTCCAGTGGAGCCTTCAGAACGCTCAGGTTGGCTTCATTAAGAGCTGGCTCCTAGTGGTAGGGCTGGAGATGAGGGTGTTCCTCTATCTCACCACACCCCCATCCCAGGCTCCTCCTGAACCCTTGCAGGGCCCCTGTACCTTTAGGAATGCATCCAGCTCTGAGATCTTCTTGGGAAAATAGCTCCCAAGCAGGTTCTCTGTCTGTATGAGGTGGAGGAGGATGGGGAAAAATCAAACGCCCTTTCCTAGGCAGTGAAGTCAGGGCTCACTCTGCCCAGCAAGGGAAGGCTGAGCAGTAGCAGCTGGTTGGGGTGGGGTTGCCGACGAGTAGGTCTTACCTTGCTACACAGGTCTTCTCGAAACACATCCACCTGTAGGGTACAGGCAACCCTTCAGATACATAGCTTTAGGGCCCGTTCATTTGAGACAATTCTCTTTGGGTTGTGTAGGGCCTGACCTGGGGAACAGAGTGGATCCCTCTAAGGCCACACTTGAAGAAAGTGCGATGGGTCCCTCTATAGGTGGCCTGGGGTGTTGTAGTTTTGCTAACACCTGAAACTCTCTGGGCGCACGCCTTTAATCCCAGCACTCGGGAGGTAAAGACAGCTGGGTCTCTGTGAATTCGACCCCACTCTGATCTACATAGCGAGTTCCAGAACAGCCAGGGACCCCTCAGCCAGTGGGCAGAGGCAGGGTGCAGGCGTGGGCCTCCCTGAGTCAAAGAGCTCGAGGAGGCCAGGGCAAGTCCCTCTCCCTCTGTGTATAGCCCGGGCCGCAAGCCAGCAGACTTCACAGTAGCTCTCGGCTTCATTTCACCCCGCTGGACCACAGCCGCCTCACCTACCCCCAGGGGATCAGGTGCTTCTGGCAGCAGGCTTAGGGAGCAGACCCCCGACTCAGAGGCAGGACCAGGAGCTGGGCCAGGGAGCTGACCCCCGACTCAGATGTAGGAGCTGATCCCCGGAACCCGGGTCCGCTCCTCGCCACGCCTCTCTAACGTCTCTCCTCGCCACTCGAACCCTCGGTGCTCACCTTGGCTTGGGCTTCAGGATGGACCCTCAGTGTGGCCATGGTCGGAGCGGAGGGGGGCTGAGCGCCGCACGAGGAGCCTGGAGAGGGCAGCGGGAAGGGAAAGCGAAAGCAGAGCTGGAAACCTGCACGGCCTTCCTGGGTTTGGGGAGTGCAGGGACTGCAGAAGGCGGGGACAGCCTACCAAGAGGCGGGGGCTCCTCCAGCAGCCGGAGCCGCGTTTCCGTCCGGCGCTCGGGTCTCTCCCCTCGTCTGTCAGGCCCGCCTCCCAAAGCCTGCCTGCCGGCGCCCGTACCTCGGCCCCTTCCCACCCCGCATTCCATTTCCGGGCACCCCCTACTTCTGCTAGGGCCCCAGCAATAATAAGTCTTCCTCTGGGGTTTTAAATCTTTTCTGATTTGGAGCAAGTCCTGGTCTCGCCTCTCCTTGCCGGCGTGGTCCCCAGGCTTCGGTGTACTCCAGCCCGACAACACAGAGCTGGCACTATCCTTCTCCAAGCTCCGCACAAAGCCATTGTGGCACACTCTGTTGCTCTATGGACCATTCCCCCACAGCAGGGATTCAGGCCTGTAGGATAAGATCCAAGACCTTTCTTTCATAATCTCCGGTCCCCTCCAAGTCTATTGCTTCCACACTCATCACACAAGCAAATACTCGTTGGTAGTGTTTATTCCGACTTCAAGGACTCTGCCCTCGGGAAACGTACAGCGCTCTCCCGCAATGTCCTCACTCAGTTCTCAGTTCGCATGCCAGTGTTTCAAAGAGAGTTTTGCACCATTATCCTTCAGAAAGTACCTTCCTTGCCCAGTTTATTACCTCATCCTGTTTCGGTGCCTCCTCAGTACCTGTGACTCTGACATTAGCCACTTTTGTTTTTGTTTTTGAGACAGGATAATACAATGGTTTAGACAGGGGCAGGCAAACTTTCTATCAGGGGTTGGTGATAACTATTTAGGTTTGGGAAGTGTTACCATATCTGTAGCAACTCAACTCTGCTGTGAGAGGAAAGTAGCCCACAAAATAAATTAATGTGGGTGAGTTTCAATAAAACAATTTATGGATTGGAGATTTTGAGTTTCATGTAATTTTCACAGTCAAGAAATACCTTTATTTTTTTAATGTTGAACAAAAAAGCCAGGCTTGGGCAGAGCTGTGGTGTCACACGCCTTTAATCCCAGCACTCGGCAGGCAGAGGCAGGTGGACCGCTGTATATTCAAGACCAGCCTGGTCTACAAATCAACAAATCAAATTCCAGGACAGACTCCAAAGCTCCATAGAGAATCCCTGTCTCTAAAAACCACACACACACACACACACACACACACACACACACACACACACACACACACACACACAGAGCCAGGCTGGGAGCAGGGCAGTAGCGGTACATGCCTTTAATCCCAGCATTCTGGAGGCAGAGGCAGGCGGATCTCTGAGTTTGAGGCCAGCCTGGTCTAAACAGAGAAACCCTATCTTGAAAAACAAAGAAAACTTTCTGGAGATGGGGAGGTGGCTCAGTGTTTAAGAGAAATGACCACTCTTTCAGAGGACCGCTAGTTAGTTCTCAGTACCCACATGGCAGCTCACAACTGACGGTAACTTCAGTTCCAGAGGATTCAATGCCTTCTTCTGGCCTCTACAGGTTCTGTACACATACAGTAAAAACACACATATACATAAAAAATAAAACTTCCACAACTGAATAATAGGAACACTACTGAACTTATCTCGCTGGGATCTTGTGGGGATTAACTATTGTGTGTGTATGTGCAGGAGAGTACATGCACACACATGAGTCCATGGAAGCCAGAGGTGAATGGAGTCTTCCTAACTCTCTCCCCTCTCATTTATGGAAAAAGGATCTCAAAGGAAAAGAGAAAGGGTCTCATACTAACCCTGGAGCTCATCCCTAGGTTGGAGCAGTTGGTTACCACGCATGCCCAGCTTTTTTTTTGTTTTGTTTTTTGTTTGTTTTTTTTTCGAGACAGGGTTTCTCTGTGGCTTTGGAGGCTGTCCTGGAACTCGCTCTGTAGACCAGGCTGGCCTCGAACTCACAGAGATCCACCTGCCTCTGCCTCCCGAGTGCTGGGATTAAAGGCGTGCGCCACCAACGCCCGGCCATGCCCAGCTTATTATCTGGGCTCTGGGTATCCACTTTACCCACAAGCCAATCCCATGGCCTCGGGGTGTATCGATTATATAAATAATGCATACCCTCAGAACAGTGCCTGACGTGGCAGGTGCCGTGCAAGCATTTCCTTGTTATTTGTGTTGTTTCTCTTTTGCTTCCTCCAGAGCTCATCAGCTTCCAAGCAGCAGAAGCCGTGTTCACTCAGCACAGAACTAGGCTTGGCTCAACTCACCTTTGTGAAATGAACGAGTGTGCCATCCTTAGGAGACAGCGGTAGGAAAGGTCCTGGCATGAGGTGCCCAGGTAGGTAGGCTCCTAAGTAAATCATGAAGAAGGCAGGAAAACGCTAAGTAACTAAGCTGAAGACGAAGCATCTGCCGAGGGAAACCTGATGTACACACACCTCAGGGGAACTGCCAGCTTCCCCTGACATCACAGCTCCAGAAAGCTAGAAGGCTGCAGACCAGCAAATCCAAAGGACGGAAGGCCCGCAAGGGAAAACACATTCAAGGTCAACGATTTGAATGATGAGGAAGGATCCAGCATCTTCCAGACTATTTTCTTACCCTTCCCACCCTCTCTAAGCCCAAAAAGAGTAGGAAGAGCCAGAGGCAGGCCTGGTACGCTTTTATTTCTTTCAGTTATGTTTGCGGATTGAGCGGGATCGGGGGAAGAGCCCGTGGCCTGGGATCCCAGGAGACCAGGGTTGGTGGTACCAGCTGCCATAGGTCAGGTACCAGGCGAACGTGCCCACTGCAGCACCCACCACCTTGTGGGTGTACTGATGGAAATAGATGACAGTGCAGAGCAGCAAGAAGTTCCAGAGGCCCAGCAGCAGCACATTGAGTAGGAAAACGAGGCGCAGGGGGGCCCCAGCGGGTAGCCCGTGGGCCAGGTACTTGGCAAATACAGCGGCTTCCTCAGCCATGAGGAGGCAGCAGAAGGTCAGGAGGAAGGTGTGGGAGGAGACAGTGTAACCTCGCCATTGGTGGCCGGCTGCCAGGCAGCTCCGGCGGTCAGGCAGCTCATGCAGCAGCAGGCCCTGGGGCAGAGGCTCGAAGCAGGAACCAGTCAGGTCCTCGATGAGCAGGAAGGCCCGTCCGGCCCCTCGCCAGACAGCTGCCCCCACGACCAGTCGGCTCAGGTGCCTGGCAGTCACCGCCACACGTCTTGTAGCCAGGAACACCACCAGCAACACAAAGCCCCCCAGGAAGGTACATGTCCAACCCCACGCTGAATTCACAAACTTTCTGTGGGTAGAAAGAGGGAAAGCTAGTTGAGACCCCCTGCTCTATGCTCCACACACCATCATTAGCTCTTTTCAACCCCTACCATTTCAACCCTGCCCATCCCCTTAGAGGACCACTGGTCACCCCAGGGCCCACATCTCCTCTCAGGCCTTTTACTTCCCCTGCACCCCCAGGCTCTGTCCACCCCCCCCACCTTCTCAACCTCCTAGTCTATTTTTAGTGTTCCGACTGGCAGCAGAGCAGAGAGACCTGGAGAAGAAGGGGGATCCCTGAGTGTAGGGAGGCCGCACCCATGGACTCTGGTCGACTCACATGTTGAAGAAGTTTCCATGGCTAGCGAAGATTGTCCGAGAGTTCACATGAAACTGCAGAAGGGGCCCAAAGATGACCACTGCTGCCAGCCAAGCATGGTAGAGGCGCCGTAAGCAGGGGCTGCCTAGAAGGCGGGCGGCTTGTTCACTTCCAAAGTATAGTAAGGCAGAGGCCACCCAGAGTAGCACCTTGAGCAGGCACCCCAGCAGCGCTCGGACTCGGGTCCCGGCCCCCAGCCCTGCCCCCACCATCGGCCCCCGCTCCATGTTCCCTCCCCTCCCCACTGACTGCCTGCTCTGCTGGGAGGCTGAGGAGGGGCTAATACCCGCCCCCCTCGGACACGATAGGCAGTGGCAGGTGTGGTAGACACAGGGCAGAGCTAGCTGTGTTGGCAGCCGGCAGGCAGGGAAGGGGGGCCGGGAATGGGCCAGTTTGAGGGCTGACAGTCAGCATGGTCCTGGCTTTGGGAGTGTGGAAGTGTGTCCTGACACAGCCTGTGGCCTTTCCTGTTAGCTCTCAGTCCAGCCGCGTTCCAGTTCGCGTCTCAGGGCAAGGCCTGCTGGCCAGCGCTGCCCTTGTCCACAGTCAGCGACAGTTGGCTCGCCTTAGCTTGGCCAGCTGAAGCCCACATTCCCCCATCTCAGCTTCACCATGTTCCCCTCACAGGAAAATCCAGGCCATAAAATCAAGCAAACCTTGGATGCCTGTGTTAGCCAGGGCTTTGTAGAGGAGCACAGCAGACTGAGTCAATCTAAATTAATATTAGGGTGGCTTACAGGCTGTGTCTCCCTAATTCCAACAGTAACTCTCCCCCTACAGAAAGGGCAACAGCCAGGTAGCCATTCAGTCCAGGAGGCTAGATGGCTCAGCCGATCTTTGGTCTATGTTAGACTCCATCCCCAAGAAGCAGGTTCTGACACCGGTGAAGGAAGGAAGTTTTCAGCACCAGGATAGATGAACTTGCACCGGAGAGCTGGGGCAAGAGCTCCCTTCTCCCACGCCCTTTAGCCCTTTAACTTGGGCCGCCACCCGATCAGTGAGGTTCTTCGAACCTCAAACGATCCCCATTTCGGGTGGGTGTTTTCACCTCAAGTTAGCCAATCAAGAAAAACCCCTCACAGGTGCGCACAGCTGCTTCCGTTTTCCTTAGTTCCAGGTGCGGTGAAGTTGACAGCGAGATTAGCCATCACAACGCATGAAGATAAACCAGAAGAGTTTATCTTCTCACCAAATGTGGGCCCTTCTCCTGGGTCCTGAGAGCAGTGAGGTGTGAACACAGTGTGGTGTCATAGGCAGGCTGCAGAAGTGGCTTCACTGGGGTAGTCACTATAGTTGTGGTGACCAGTTTGTCCCGGGATGATTGTGCACATTGATGGTGGCATAGTGTGTGCACGGGGCATTGCCTAATGGGTTACAGTTTGTGCTCATGATTGTAAGAGTCAATAGGTGGAATCCAAGTGCCCCGGGAAAGGCAACTTGTATGGGATGATGGTGGCCATGGGTGGGTGCTCGGAGCCCAGGTGCTCCCAGGTAATGGGTGGAGATCCTAAGAAAAACATACCCGATCTATCATCCATCAAACTTCAAGTCTGACCAGGCAGTGGTGGTGCTCACCTTTAATCCCAACACTTGGGAGGCAGAGGCAGGAAGATCTCTGAGTTCTCGACCGGCCTGATCTACAGAGGGAGTTCCAGGACAGCCAGAGCTACACACAGAAATCCTGTCTCAAAACAACAAATCTTTGTCAGTCAGTTACCCTGGGTCCCATAGTTCACACAAACCTGTCCTCTCAGTCTGAGCACAGGGTGGGACCTACCTAAGACATATCTGCTACCTGGTAGCTGTTTCAAGATAGTTTCTCTTATCTTAAAGCTGGGAATTCAGATCCAGGCGTTGGTGGCGCACGCCTTTAATCCCAGCACTCGGGAGGCAGAGGCAGGCGGATCTCTGTGAGTTCAAGGCCAGCCTGGTCTACAGAGTGAGTTCCAGGACAGCCTCCAAAACAATACAGAGAAACCCTGTCTCGAAGAAAAAAAAAAAAAAAAAAAAAAGCTGGGACTTCAGAGCAATGGAGGCCCACAATGTAGTGAGCAGGGACACCCAGGTTGTGGGCCTCGTTGTGGCTGGGGAAAACAGCTAGCCCTCTTCTTTTTCAAGCTACTGGGGTCAAACGCAGGTCCTCAGGCATACTAGTGAAGTACACTACCACTGAGCTATCCCCACAGCATCCTCCCCTTTTTTCTTTCCTCCTCCTCCTTTTTTTGGGGGGGATGGGGTAGGGTCTTATGTTTCCCAGACTGGGCCTCAAACTTTTCACATAACCAAGAATGATCCTGAATTTCTGATCCTCCTTCCTGAGTGCCTGAATGCTGAGATTACAAGCATGTACCACTACACACATTTTAAAAAATTACTTTTTATTACTGTGTGTGTGTGTGTGTGTGTGTGTGTGTGTGTGAGAGAGAGAGAGAGAGAGAGAGAGAGAGAGAGAGAGAGAGAGAGAGAGAGACTGGGAATCACTTCTGTCTTTCCACTGGGTTCTGGGGATCAAACTCAGTTTTCAGGGGCCCACGGCAAGCCCTTTAGCCCACTGGGCCATGTGGCCAGATCCCAGTCCCAGTTTAATGCAGGACATGGGGCCCAGAGAAATTGAGCTATGTCTCCAGCCCTCTGATTTCTTCCTCTTTTATCTTCTTCTTTCTTTTTTTCCCTCCATTTTTTTCTTTCAAGACAGGGTTTCTCTGTGTAGCTCTGGCTATCCTGGAACTCAATTTGTAGACCAGGCTGGCCTCGAACTCACAAAGCTCTGCCTACCTCTGCATCCCGAGTGCTGGGATTAAAGGTGTGCAGCACCACTACCTGACCTCTTTTTCATTTCTGAGAGTTTTATTCATAGCCCTGACTGGCCTGAAATTGTGACAATCCTCCTCCCTTAGCCTCCCAAGTGCTGGGATCAACAGCTGGGCACCACCACACCCAGTCCACCACACCCAGTCCACCACTCCCAGTCCAATATGCTTTTATACTTCAAGGTCTTTTATCGATCATTTATATCATCTTTGTAAAAAAAATTAAATTTGATTAAAAAAATTTAAAGCTGGGTATGGTGGCACACTCCTTTAATGCCAGCATTTGGGAGGCAGAGGCAGGCTAATCTCTGAGTTCCAGGTCAGTCTGGTCTACAGAGTGAGTTCTAGGACAGCCAGGGCTACACAGAAAAACTCTGTCTCAAAAACAAAACAAAACCCCCAATAAATAATTAACAACAGTAAAATCCAGGTATGGTATCATGTTTTTGTGATGACAGCACTCAGGAATTTAAGGCAGGAGGATTGACTCAAGTTCATTGCCAGCCTGATCTTATGTAGTGAATTCCAGGCCAGCCTGGACTACAGTGAGACTGTCTCAAACAAACCAAAACAACAAAAATCCCCAAACAAAAACAAAAAATCCCAGCAAAAGAATCCAAAAACCAAAAACAAACAAATCTAGAGATTATAAATCAAGTTATTTTTCTCTTTGTAATTAAATTTCCATTATAATTAATAGTACCACTTATATTTGTCAATAGGACTGTATGGTAATGTCTGAGAATGATATTCTGTGGGTCCTTGAGAATACTAACAATTTTTTCTCTATGCTGGTTAGGTTTTCCAAATTCACACAGCCTAGAGTCATCTGAGAGGAAAACCTCAATCGATGAATTGCCTGGATCAGATTGTCCTGTGAGCATGACTCAGGGACTGTCTTGATTAATATAGGCGGGCCCAGCACACTTTGGGTGGCACCATTCCCTGTGCGGGTGGGCCAGGGTTATATATGAAAGGTAGCTAAACATAAACCAGCAAATGAGCCAGTGGTATTCCTCATGTTTCCTGCCTCAACATCCTTCAGTGATGGGCTGACACCTGGAGTATGAGCCTGATGGGGATGTTCTTTTGTGTGTGTTTCTTTTATTGGTTGATGAATAAAACACTGTTTGGCCAATAGATGCAGGGAGATAGGTGGGACTAGGCCAGGAGGAGAATTCTGGGAAAGGTAGGCAGAGAGGCACAGAAAGAGAAGCCACATAGAGATCAGGAGAATAAGACTCGCCAGGTATTCTCTGGAAGATAAGACCATGAAATACATAGATGAATAGAAGTGGGACAGAGCTAGCCAGTAAGAGGCCTAGTCATTGGCCATAATTAATATAGTGTCTCTGTGTGGTGTCAGGACCCGGTGGGTAAGAAAAACTCCAGCAACATGAGCCAGATAAATTCTTCCCTCCTATAAGCTACTTTTTTTGTTTGTGTCGTTTTTGATTTTACTTACTTCACGCATGTTTTGCCTGCATGTATGTTTGTGTAACACTTGTGTGCCTGGTGCCCATGGAGGCCAAAGGAGTGTGTTCAATCTCCTAGGACTGGAGCCTTGTGTGGGTGCTCAGAATTGAATCCTGATACCCTGGAAGAGCAACCAGTACTGCTAACCATTGAGGCTAGGCCAAGAAGCAAAAGGACAGGCAAAATATGGAATATCTTTTTGTTGTTTTGGTTTCTGGTATCATTTTGTATTGTTAGACCGGCTCTCATGTAGCCCAGGCTGCCTTCAAACTGCCCTGTAGCTCAGACCTTGAACTGTGACCCCTCTCCTTGGCACTGAGATGAAAGGCTAGTGCCACCCTTACCCAGTTTAATTTGGTGATGGCAACTAACCCAGGACTGCCTCCTCAGCTCTGGACAATTTTCAATTATTTTACATTTATTTATTCATTTATTTATTATGTGGACATGTATATACCACTGTGTGTGTGTGTGTATAGGTCACAGGATAATTTGTAGGAGTTGGAGTAGGTAGTGTAGTCCTTCAGTATTGTTACTTAAAGTCAAGTGCCTTTACCTGCTGAGCCATGTAATCTGCCCTGAGCAGTTGCTTTGGGGGCCTGATGTGGTAGTATGTGTCTGCCATTTTAGCTACTCAAACTAGAGGATTGAGCAGGCACGAGCATTCAAGACCAGCTCAGATGACATAGTGAGCCTCCCCAAACGTCCATGGCTGTGAAAAGTCTGACTACTACTTCAGATGCATACCTGCTTTAAAAATTGCCTCAAAAATCAAGACGTGTAAGGGAAGATGCAGATTGCGGTATGTGAAGGCCAAGTCCTCTGACCTTTGGCTGCTCTAGGGCTTGGGGCTCTTTTATGACACTTAATTGTGTTTGTCTGTGGGTGCTCAGTGAGAGGACAGCTTCTGGAAGTCGGTTCCATCCCACCACGTGGGCTGCAGGCATTAAGCTCAGCTTTCTGTCTTGTGGCAGGTGCTTTCGCTGGGTGAGTCGTCTTGCTAGCCTAAGGGACTTGGGGTTGTGAGTGGGCTGGCTAGCCCTGCTCAGGTTCTCTGGCTGTGAATTCACAGCCCACCCCCTCTGCATACTGGAACAGTTCCAGAGTAGAGTTGACACATGTATGCCTGGGCTGTAACAGAAAATGTACTCATCATCTGCTGTCTCAAGGTCCACATGGTGCACTTTTTGGGTTGGAGACTTTTTTAAGCCTCAGTAAGTGATTGTAGATTTTCTTTCATCTTGAGTCATCAAAGAGGTGTTTTCTCCTTTGGAGCAGCACACTTTCTGTAGAAACTCTGATATCAGTTTTCTGAGACAGGTTCTCAGGTATCATAGGCTGACTTCAAATTGATTATGTAGCTGAGGATAGCCTTCAACTTTTGATCCTCTTGTCCTCTGTGTTGCCACACCCATTTGAAAACCTGTTTCCTTGAAGTCAGATAACAGACTTCGCATGGGAAAGGGGTGAGTGACACAGACACCAAGCTAGTTTCCCACAGACAGTTTATTGGGAAAGCCAAAGCCAGTGAGAAGATGAGAGAAGTCCTATTTTAACCTCTCTTATTGAAGCTGCTGGCCACCAGCAACGACAGGATCCAATGGCAAGGAGGGCCAAACAGAGCTTCTGGAGACTCCACCCTCTCAGACCATAGTCTCTTAACCTCAAAGTCCAAGTATGAGAGAAGACAGCTTCCACCCCAGGAGGGTGCTGAGGAAACAGCTCTACTCACCCTGCCCTCCCTAAGAGCTCAGGAAGAAAGGCCAGTACACTTAGCTCTGATTGGCCAATCGAACCCTCAGTGCGAAGACCTGGGCAAAGGGCATTGCTGATGGGTCTGTTCAGACCTCAGGGCTCTACACTAGGAGCCAACATCAAACATCGGAACATGATTAAAAACACTAAGGACAATTGTCTTGCTGGCAGAAGCTGCACCCCAGATAACGGATGTCCTGCCACACTCTGGCTAGAGATAGAAATCCAAGCGGACTGGGTGTGAATGCATGAGGAAATCACTTAGCCCAGTCTGGAAGTGGGGGTAGTCCAGGCTCAGCTGGGGCACGAACCCTGGGCTTCTGTTTCTCACTACCCAGTGTCAGCAGCTCCTCCACATACTCCCCAGAAGGGGAGAGGGAGGAGGAGACAGAATATGGTGAGCGCTCACCCTCTACAGAGCGGCAGTCAGACCTACTGAGGTGAGGAAAAGGCCACAGATGGGCAGGGCACCGAAGTGGGAGCGCTGGGACAATTCTCAGACTCTGGCATGTCGTCCCGGAAGTACTCAGCCTGGCGGTACTGCCAAAGACGCAGGTTCCCATCCCACTGCAGAGCAGAAAGTGACAAGTAGTCAGGGAGATGCCCCTCCCAGGTCCAAGCTCTAGACATGCTGTCCTCCCACCCCCAAGCCTTGTAGCCTCACCGAACTGCTGACAATCTTTTCTTCAAAGGGGTGCCAACTGACATCACGCACACAGGCCTTGTGGTTTGTCAGCTTCTTCACAATGTGGCCACTTAGAAGATCATACACTGTTTGGGAAAAGCCAGACAGGACGCTGCAGGAGCTTCACAGCACCCGCAGCCCCCACTTCTCGGGCAGCATCCCACTTTCCCAAGGGAGCAAAGCCCACCTCAAAGGACACTGCCTTCCTTGTCTGCTTCCTTCTCTTGTTCCTGTCCCTGCCTTGGGTTTGAGGGTATGGAGTGGAATGCGGGTATCCCTAGCCCTTAGCTAGAATTCCAAGGACTACTGTGAAGAAAATGCATGGTGGTAATCTCAACATTTGGGAAGTGAAAGCAGGATAATCAGGAGCTCAAGGCAAGCCTTAGGTATATTGTTCCAGCCCCAAGCTACAGTGTCCCAGTCTCAGACAAAAAGAAAACTGGAAATGTACTGGCTGCAAAAAGCTTTTAGCAATGCTGGGCATGGTGGTGCATGTCTTTAATCTCAGCACTCAGGAGGCAGAAGCAGATGGATCTCTGTGAAATTGAGGCCAGCATGATCTACACAGTGAGTTCCAAGACAGTCAGGGTGGTTACACAGAGAAACCCTGTCTCACAAAAAATAAAAAGAAAAACTTTTAGCAAAGTATGGAAGGTGCCATCAGTGAATCCTAGGCTGAGTAGATGTGTGCACTTGTTCTGCTGGACAAGAGCATCTCTGCTTTTTAGACTTCAGTGTGTTGGGTAGAGGTGCTTATGTGTTTGTTAGTGCATGACAAGCAGAGGCCAGGGGTCAACGATGGCTATTTTCCTCAACCACTCTCTACTTAACATTTTTGTGAAGAGTCTTTCACTGGACTGGGAGCCTGTCGATTTGGCTAATGAAAGAAAATGGCCCCCAAAGGGAGTGACACTATTAGGCGTGACCTTGTTGGAGGAAGTATGTTGCTATGGGGATGGGCTTTAAGGTCTGTTTTGCTCAAGTTTCCCTCATTGTGACTCAGTTGACTTCCTGTTGCCTGCAATACGTAGCACTCTCTCGCCATAGTGATAATGGACTGAACTTCTAAAACTGTAAGTGAGCCTCCCCAATGAGATGTTTTTGTTTTTTGCGATTAAGGGTTGCCATGGTGTCTCTTCACTAAGAGAGCTAGAGAGGTTAGGTTGCAAGTTCCAGGATCCTCCTGTTTCTGTCCCCAACCCCAGGCACTTGGGATACAGTTGCATGGTGTGTAGATTCTGGGGACCTGAGCTCAGACCCTTGCACTTGGACAGCAAGTGCATTCCTGCCTGACCCAGGCCCCTGGCCTGCTTCAGTCCTACACAAGCTTTGTGTTTTTTAAATTCCGAGAGGCAGGGTCTTGCTTAACAGTCCAAGCTGGCCCAGAATTCACTATGTAGTTCAGGCTGGCCTCCGACACATGGCAACCCTTCACCTCCTAAGTTCTGGGATCACAGGATTTATCATACTCAACAACTCAGTGCTGTCTTTTTGTCACTTGTTTGTCTCTGCTGCCCTCCCACCTTCCCTCTGTGATCCTTTTCCTTGACTGGAAAAAACCCAGAATTATGCTTTTGGAAATCTATCTATTAACTAGAATTCTATGTTCCCTTTTTTAATTAAAAATGTTCATGTGTTCATGAGTGCTTCCTCATTCCTTGTTTAAGCCTTTCCTGCTCCAATCTAGACATTTTCACTTGTAGTTGTTATTGAGATTTTTAAAGTGCTCCTGTAGTTATAGACGGAACGCCAGAGAAACATGCCTGCCCCCTCAGGGCCTGTCCTCAACCAAACCCTTACCAACTACTTTGCCAGTAGAGCAGCCACTGTAGATGAACTGCTGGCCGGTGCTGTGGGCTGGGGAGAATCGGCAGCGGATGAGAGTGTGCAGCACTCCATGGCCTCGGTAAGTCATCAAGGAGCTGTCTCCTGGGAGCTTCAGCTTCTTCCAGGCTGGGTAAGGTTAGGGTTTTGGAGGTGGGTCTTAGATGAGGGAGTGCTAATTGTCCTGTACCAACCCCTTTCAATAAAGACCAACACTAAACTGCTGACTTTCCCTACGTGACAAAAGTCACCAATATGGCCCTGCTGATTTGCGAATGTTAACGATACTAAAATATTTTTGTGTTGGTTAATTCCATGTTCCCTCAAGTCTGAAAACCCCTCCCCCAAATAAAAGATCTAAAAGAACGACTCCAAGATGCGCAGGCAACAGACAAATCCACCAAGCCCATTCCAGACCACAGCAGTGGCTGCTTCTAGCCACCACCCACCTCTCAACCCCCCAGACCCTAGCTTCACTCTCACCATTCTTGGGCACCTGTTGCCACCGATAGTCCCAGTTTTGCTGTGTGGCAGCCTGGCGTGATGCTTCCATGCCTTCTCGGCTGGAAAAGCGTCTGATATCCCAAAGTTTAATGGTCTGGTCTTTGGAGTTGGAGATGAGATACCGGGCATCACCCTATGAATCCAAAGATGGACATTTGTATCAGAGCTTGCCAAGTTTAGTACCTGCCAGTGAAGTTCCTCTGCTCGAGCTGAGGCTGGACCTCTAAGCTGCTGAATCTGCTTTGGTCTTTCCATCCATATGAACGTGCTTTTGATGTTTTGCTTCAGGTTTCCTTGTCCCCAGGCTTTTTTTGCTCAGACTACCAGCTGTGTCCCCCATTCTAACTTGGACTAAACGGTTTCCTACTTTCTTTTTGGGTTTACTTATTTTATATGTACAGGTGTTTGTCTGCATGTATGTCTGTGTACCATGTGCATGCCTGGTGAGTGTGGTGACTAGAAGGCGGTGTTAGATCCCCTGGAACCGGAGTTACAGATGGTTGTGAGCTGTGGTGTGGGTGCTGGGAACAGAATCTGCGTCTTTTGGAAGAATATCCAGTTCTTAACGGCTGAACCATCTTTCTAGCCCCAATCTCGTACTTTCTTATAAAGTCCTGCTGTGGTCCTTGTAGGCTGAAGAGTACAGAAGAAACTCATGTTTCTTGGCTTAAGCACGTGTCCTAAACTCCAGTTCCTGCACACCCTAAGAAGGAACCTTTGAGTTTTCATACCAGTCCACAGTCATACCCTCCAGAACCTTCCCAGCCTGGCTCTGCAGTCTTGTTTCCTTGCTCACCTTGCTGTCAATAAAGGTGATGCCATCTTGGTGTCCAGCCAGTGCACCCACAGGCTTGGGATCATCCTCTCTCATGGTACGTCGGTCCCACACTTTGCAGATGGCATCGTCTCCCCCAGAGAACAGGATTTGGGAGCTTATGTCAGCAAAGGCCACTGCATTCACGTCATCCTCATGAGACTCAATCTGGAGGAACAGGAAGCTAAGGGTCTTAGGATGTCTTGCTAGTCTTAAAATAGGTCAAAGACCAGGAGGAGGAGGGTCTTGTCTCATAAACAATACCTGAAGAGTACGCCGGTTTTGTTCTCGGTCAAAGACATATAGGCAGCCATCATTGGCTCTGTAAGAAATGAGATAAGGCCGGGCAGTGGTGGCGCACACCTTTAATCCCAGTACTCGGGAGGCAGAGGCAGGCGGATCTCTGTGAGCTCAAAACCAGCCTGGTCTACAAGAGCAAGTTCCAGGACAGCCTCCAAAGCCACAGAGAAACCCTGTCTCAAAAAACCAAACCCAAACAAACAAAAAGAAATGAGATAAGAGCCCGGACTATTCTGTGTGCTCGAGAGAGTCCTGTGAGGAACTCAGCCAAGGAGTTAGTGTTTGTGTTCTTCCACATATGGGAAGTTTAGTTTTCAAGAAGGCTCAAGACCTGACACCTCACACAGGGAAACGGTGTGAGCGGGAGAGAAGCAACTCTACACCTCAACGCTGGAGGAGGCAAGCTGGCCTTCCACAGTCGCTAGTGTAGTCTTCTGTAACAGCAGAACCTACCTCTGGCAGAACTCTCACCTCACTAATCAAGATAGACATTTCCCACAATGCTCACTCACCCTCCTAGTACTTCTCGTCCATCTGAGGAGACGGCGATGGAGAAGACAGCAAAGTGACGCTCTTCTGGCCTAGAGAAAGCAAGGGAGGAGCTACACTAAGTGGTGTCCTTTCGCTTTTTGTCAATCTACAAAGAATCTGACACAGATTATAAAGAGCTGGACACCAAGGGCCTGACGACTCATGCCAGCATGCGGATCCCCTGTGAGAACCCAGAAGCAATCCTGTAACTAGGGCTTACAGGGGCAATGCTCTCAGGAAGTCACACAGAGAAACTGGCAACCAGTGCACTTTTACGTCTAGGTGGGAGCTCCTGTGTTTGAGAGGCGCTCCTGTTTGAGGAGAGGCGCTCCTGGGAAGCCTTCCTTGAGAAGTCTGACAAGAAAAAGCCAATACCTTAGATCCAGGGCAGTGTGTGTGCCTCCTTCCCCATAGATATTGCAGATATGAACTAAAAGGAGAGAAACAAGAATTCTTAGGGTCGAGGAAAGAGAATGGGAGTAAAACTAAGAAGGCGAAGAGCAAACGGGAGTGACTTTCTGACTGGAGGCCGACACCCCAGAAGTCTGGTGCGTACTCACTGTAATCAGACCAGCTGGAGTACAGGAAGTGGTTTCCATCAGGAGTGAAGGCCACGTCCAAGACACTCCACCCTACATCCCGGGCCTTGATGCTTTTGAATTTATGGAAGCGGCCATACCGACAGTCGTACAGTCGGATTGTCTGATCTGTAGAGGTGATTTCAGGCAGAGTCATGGACTATTCTCCGTGTAGCCTTTGGCATCAGGTTTCTTGCTTGGTGTATCTGTGGTTTCCCTTGATAAACCCTCTGGGCTAAGCATCTCTAAGCCAGGCTTTGAGTTCCTTGGGTCTGAGGCTTCCTAGTCCAGGTAAGATTATTCTTTGCTCTAGGTTAAGGCAGTTACTAAGACTGGGGTCTAGTACCTTGGCAAGCAGACATGAAGATTTGACCATCTGTGCTGTAGATGCCGCAGAAAGCCTTCTGAGAGTAGGTGTCGGTGAAGCTTAGGTCATTGGGCAAGAAGCTAGAGAGGTAGAAGGGAAGAGTGAGGGAGCGCCAAGGGAGGAGAACCCCAGTTAGCAGAACGGAATGGCAGCACAGTCCCCTTTATCCATTCTGCCAGGGTTTGCACATTTCTATTTGTGTACTCTCAAAGCTTCAAGCCTTACTATTTCTGAAAATACTTTAACTTCTACCCCTCAGAGTGTGGGAGATAAGGTCTAGCTGGCCCTTAGAGTCTCTCCAGCAAACCCCATACTCACTGAGACATCACTCGAGACTGTTCTCCAAGGGAGAAGCTTCCCCGGTGGCAGAGGCCCCGTTCTCTCTAAATGGAAGGGATTGGGGAATATTGCTAGCAGAACTGGAGAGCCACTGCAGTCACACCAAGCCCCTCCTGCAAGGATGTTTCTCTTGCTACAGAAACAATGTTCCCCAGCACTAAGGTGCAGGCTGGCTAACACATGCCAGTCCCCAAACTTGAGATCTCCTTGGGAAGTTCACTTCCACTTGTCTGGGCCCGCAGAGCCTCTGGCCTGAACAGGTCTGCTGCCAGGCTGACTAGAGGTGAAAAGCCTACCTGGTGTAACATTTGAGGAAAGCTTTGCTCCTGGGCAGTCCTCCTGAGTCCTAGCCGCCCTGTGGCCAATTCCACCTGTGTCTTGATCTCATTGTATTCCAGCTCCCCAGTGTCAGGGGTCGCATCCACTATTAGTACCAAGAAGAAGTTTCATTACAGGCCTTCCAGCCCAGAAGAGTTAGCAAAATTGTACCTACTCAATATGGTTGGCTACAAGGATCCCCTCGTCACCTGAATTATCATCTTTCAATTTAACCTACTAAGCTTTAGAAGACTGGTTACTTTTTTTCCCCTCTGAGACAGGGTTTCTCTGTGTAGCCTTGGCTGTCCTGGAATTCTCTGTGTAGACCAGGCTGACCTTGAACCCAGAGATCCACCTGGCTCTGACTCCCAAGTGCTGGGATTACAGGCATGTGCCACCACCGCCTGGCGAGGACTGATTACTTTTAAAAGTAAAAGTGGTCTAGAGAACATCTTCCAACATTAAAATTAGATGGTCAGTTATACATGCCTTTAATCCCAGGACTCAGGAGGCAGAGGCAGGCAGAGGTAGGCAGAGCTCTGATTTTGAGGGTGGCCTGGTCTACACTAAGAGTTCTAGAAAAGCCAGGGATACAAAGAGACCCTATCTCAAAAACAAAACACAAAACCAAAATAAGATTAGATTGCCCTTTTTCTCACCAGGTGGGTTGTATCGATCTCCGAGGCGACCATCCCAGGCACTGTCATGTTCCTCCTCTGAGTCAGAGAGGGCCTGGATGAGCTGTAGATTTGCTGCACCTCCTCCTTGCACCAACCTCACTTGGCCTCTGTGGAGAGATTCCCATTACAAAGTGGGCGGGAACCCCCGGCCCCATCTACCAATGGCTATCTAGCTCTTAGTACATTTGGTCCTCATTTGGAAGTTTGAGGCTGACTGGAGCTCGGCTGTTATTTTAGTCTCCTATAAGACATAGTAGGGCACATGGTGGTGGTGCTGCACGCCTTTAATCCCAGAGGGGTTAAAGGGGAGGCAGAGGCAGGCAGATCTCTGTGAGTTGAAGGTCAGCCTGGTCTACAGAGAGAGTTCCAGGACAGCCAGGGCTACAAAGAGAAACTCTGTTTCACAAAACAAATAAGAAACAACCAACCAACCAGCCAAAAAAAAAAAAAAACCAATTAAACAAAAAGACAAAGCAGGAAACTAATTTGAGCAGAATTCTAACAGTTTGTAAAGACTGACCTGCTAAACTGATTTCTCACAGAGAGAAACATTGTGTTCCCTCAGGGGAGGATTGAACCCAGGACCTCAATGCACGCTAGGTGATCTGCTACCACTGAGCTATATTCCTAGTTCAAGAGCTAAAATTTGGCTTCCTACCTGTCCTCCTTAGTCTCTTTTCCTGCTGTGAAAGATACCCTCATGAAAGCAACTTAAGAGAGAAAGGTTTGTGTTGACTCACAGTTCGGGGTAGAGTCCATCACGGAAGTCAAGGCCTGAAGCAGCTGGCTACAGAGCGCTCAGTCAGGAAGTGGAGACGGTTGAACCAAGTTTAGCTAGCTTGCTCCTTTTCATATGGGAGCAGCGTCACCCACGTGCAGCGTGGGCCTCTCTGCTCCAATGAACCTAATCACTGTAATCCCCCAGGCCTGCCCGGAGGCTAAATAACCCATCAAGGTGTGCTGTCTCGGGGTGACTCTGGCCCCGTCCAACCCTCACAGCCAGTGCTGTAGGAAACAGCACAGGGCACACTATCCTGCAGGGATACTGGGCTCATCTTTTCCCAAGGACCCACAGGCAAGCAAACAAAGCCAGGTAAACATGTGTCATCAGTCCTGGTGGTCACCCCCTTCAGGGTGTTCTTTTCTTAAGAGCGGGGCTAGTGAGGTCGATTTAAACTCGTTTTTCAAGTAAATCCACATGGCTTCATCTCATATGGCGAGTGATTTAATACCCCTTCCCAAATCTTTGCTTCTCACTCCTCTTCTTTCCGCCACACCCTCTACCTGTTTTCTCCTTTTCATTTCTCAGAAAACAGACTATATCTGCGTTGTCACAGCCGAAGAGGCGCCCCCAACCACAATTCTGAGTGTGTTAGTGACCTGCCCTGCTAGGCAGGAACCATTCTGGGTATGGAGCTGAGTAGTGTGGGCATCCAGCAGGGAACGGTCGTTCTGTTCAAACACGACCGTTGTCCTGGGCTAACACCACTCGCTACCCTCTGCACCCTTCCTGCCTGGAGTTGAGATCATCAAGAGACTGTGGTGACACTTCGAAGTGTCAGCACAGGGTAAGTTACCTGCGGAGGAGATAGGCCAGTACCTGGGCCAGATCCACATCTTCATCCTCCTCCTCTTCCTCACTCCGACGAAGGCCAGCCGCTCTTCGGGACAAGCCGTCGGAGGGCTCTAAGGACCCGGATCCTGCGCTGCTACTGTTCCGCGATCCCATATTCTGGTTACAGCATCCTTACGTTCTGTACAGGGGCTCCTCCTGTCACCAACTTGGGTTTGGCGAAAGTAATTTCTGCTCTAGAAATATCAGGGTTTCCAGAAACGGGGCAGTAGCTATCTTTGGAGGGGTGACCCCCTCCTGGGGACAGATTTCCTTCTCTTTAGCTATGACAGCTCCCGAGGTTTCGGAAACATAAACCTTCCTCAACCCTGTGAAGCAAAGAAAGCCATATGAAACCTAGGGTGCAACCTTAGCTTACTAATGAGAGTCCGTAAAGAGGAATTTCCCATTTTCCTACCCAAACTCACCTATCAAAGTCCCCGGCCGGGGGTGGCCGAATCCCAGATAACCTCTCCGGCCGACCAATCAAAACCCCTTGCGGAAGAACGCGCCTCACTAGCTTATCTTAGACAGCCAACCAGAAGCCTTAGAACTCAGACCTCGACTCCCCTCGGCTGGCCAATCAGAACAACTTCTCGCGAGTGCCGGCAGCAGCGACAGCCAATGCCGTCCGCAGCCGGCCTAACACCCCTCCAGCTCAGCCTCTCGCCCACGTGGTGCGCCGGGGGCGTGTACGGCAGGGGGCGGGAGGGCGGAGAGGCCCCGCCCCCCGCGGCCGGCGGTTACCGCCCCACGCGAGGCCGCCCACCCGCCGGGAGGCCCTGTCCACACCGGCTCCCGCTGCGGGCCCGGCCAACAGCCGCTCCGGTCGCGAGCCCGGGCCGTGGGGAGCCGGCCGCCAGGCCTGCGGGAGCTGCGTCACCGGACGCTCCTCGCAGCCCCGCCCCTCGGCCGGCTGTGCGGACCTCCGAGCCAGCTGACTGATGGGTGGGCTGGAGAAAGTGCGTGACCCCGAGGGGCGTTCGTTCGTAGCGGACGGGAATTGGCTGTGGCGTGCGTTAGGCCGAGCCGAGCTAGACGTAATGGCTGCGAGGCGGTCCCTTGGCCCCGAGTTTTGTTTTGTTTTGTTGTTTTTGTAATTGCATGCCCAGCCGCTCCTTTCCACTTAGCTCCCAGCAACCCCAGCTCAACCGTTTTTCCCGCGGCCTGCCCGAAAGCTGTCTTCTTCACAGATGGGACCCCGGCCGCCTCACCCTGCTGTGTACCCACTTACCCGCGGCGGTCGTGTTAGACGACCCCTAGCTTCCCTGCTCGGTCTTTGCAGACGCTCCCTAACTCCCGCAGCCGGCCCGGGAGCCTTCCGGTTGCGTTAGTGCGCACGCGCCCCCTCCGGGCCTGCAGACCTACCCTCGGCTTTGCTCGCGCGCCGCCTCCCGCGGGTTTAGGAATAACAAGGTCGGGTCCAAGGCCGAGCCCTGCCGCGTCTGGATGGTTCCCCAGGCTCAGGGCCTTGGCCCAGAGCCAGGCACTGCGAGGACACCTCAGCTCCCTGGCCGAGCATGTGGCAGGGCCCGTGGGTGTCCCCCTGCCTCTAGGCAGGCCCACCCACACCGCGGTGGTTGAACTGCCCACGGTGGCTAGCGTCTCTGCGCCTGCTTTCCCATTCTGCTGCCCCTGCCTTAAAATTCTTAACGTTGAACAAGCGTCCAGCATTTTGTTTTTTTTTTTTTTTTTACTGGTTTCCATAAGTTGATGTGGACAGTATTTCTAACACTTAGAGCTTTCGGGATTCCGAGGTATCTATCTGAAAAGTCTGTAATTTTAAAAAGTATTTTCCCTTCCTTATTACTCCTTAAATTCTTCCAAATTACGTAAATAGTTTTTAACTGATTACTTGAGATTATTTTCACAGGCGTAATTTCCCCCCACTCGGAACCTCTCCCACTCATTGATGTGCTCTCATAGTCTCTTTTTTTTCTTTCTGTGGCTTTGCAGCCTGTCCTGGCACTCATGCTATAGACCAGGCTGGCCTCGAGCTCCCAGAGAGTCGCCTGTCTCTGTCTATCTCTGCTGGGGTCAAAGGCAGGCTCACGTCACCTCTCAGCAGTATTTCTACACTTGATTTTAGCTAAAAGCGATTTAGCAGTATTTCGATTTTAGGAACTGACCAGTGATTTTTACCTTTTTTTTTTTTTTTTTTCGAGACAGGGTTTCTCTGTATTGTTTTGGAGGCTGTCCTGGAACTCGCTCTGTAGACCAGGCTGCCCTCAAACTCACAGAGATCCACCTGCCTCTGCCTTCTGAGTGCTGGGGAGTGCTGGGATTAAAGGCCTGTGCTACCACCAATGCCCGGCTGATATTTACCTTTTTTTTTTGTTGTTGTTGTTGTTGTTGCTTTAACACAGACTTCCCAACGATTGTCTTTTTACTAACTTGGTTAATTTTTTTTTTCTGCTAACCAGATGTGCCTGTAAGTGCCTTTCTACCCGTGTACCTTTCTAGAACGTCTTATCTGAGAGATGCTGTATCTTTACCGGTGCTAGCTGGCAAAGAGCCCAGAACTTTAACCTAGTGGTACTGTCAGTAGTCCAGCTCAAACCTGCATAATGTCTGCTTAACGGTTACTGATAATAGCAGAACACTGAAAATAAAGAAATCCAGTATACAACAAGAGATTGGTTAAATAAATTGTGGTCAGCATTGTACAGATGGGAAAATACCAGGTAGCCACTGAAATGAATTTTGTAATGGGTGGGGAATATGCCTGTGGGAGAGTGCTTGCCTGACATTCGATCTACACTGGGATCAATCTCCAGCACACAACACAAACAAAACCAGCGCTGCTACAGTTCTTCGTAAAGTATAAAAATAACCAAGTTTAGGCCGGTGAGATGTTCAGCTTGTCAGATAAAGGGGTTGTTACTAAGACATATGTCTTGAGTTCAGTCCCTGGACTCACATACAGGAGAGAGAATGGACTCCCACATGTTGACCTCTGAACTCCACATGTGTACTTCCCTACTCACCTAGACCTACCCAATTAAATGCGTGTTTAAAAAAATCCAAGCTCATTATGTGATTAAATGAAAATGGACAGGATCTTGTACATAACAAAAGTGTAACATGAACAAAACATGATCAATACAGTTACAATACCTAATGTCCAGAAAAGAGGCCTGTAACATGTACTTCCTTACTGCCTTTCTGTGTGCATGTGTGGTGTGTCTGTGTGTTCAGGTGCTTTCCATGGGTGTGCACATGTGCACCAGTTGGTGTAGAGGCCTGAAATGGATGTTTGGTATCTTTTTCAATAAAATGTCCAACTTACTTTAGGACATCTTTCATTGATTCTTTTGACAATTTCATACATGCATGCAATGTATCTTGATGACACTTACTCCAGATGTTCCCCCTTCTACTTTCATGTCTTAAAGTTTGTTTTACGACTTATTTTTTTGAGACAGAAACTCTCACCGAACCTGGAGCTAGCTGATTGGCTATGCTGGCTAGCCAGCAAGCCACAGACTCGTCTGTCGTTAGCTCTACGGTTTCAGACATGTGACATGAGCATTGCTGTTTTTTTTTTTTTTTTTTTTTTTTAGGAGGGTGCTGGGGAATCTGAATTCCGGTGCCCCTGAGTTGCACTATGACTAGGTCTAAGCAAAATTAGCTGTTAAAAAGAGGAGGAAGTCACTACTAAGTTATTGCATTACAATTTTACTGTTAATAAAGTACACTGTTTATGCTTGAGTTATATATCAATGACTAATTTTTGTATTGCATCCAGAATGCTGGCTTTGTTACTGAATAATTTGTTTATGTTGTATTTTTGTTCTAAAATCCAATCCAAAATTCAGAAAAGATAGCCCATGTCAATGAGAGAAAAATGAGAAATAATAAATATTATCTACCTGGGGGGGGGGAAGAAGAGGAGAAAGACCATCGATGAACAATTATATATGTGGCCGGGGTGGTTGCACCCCACAAAAAGGTCATTTTGCCATGCTCTTGGCCTTTCAAAGCTTGATGAGTTTAAGTACTTTCTTAAAGTACTTCTACTTTCCCAGCTATACTGAGCCACTTTAGTATAGAGAGGTTCTTTTTTCAGTTACAATAAATCCGATAATTACTAAGTAAATATCAGTTGATTAACTTCCTGCTCCACCAGGTTTGGCCCCCTTCTATTTTTGTCCTTGAGCAGCTCCACTAGAGGGCGACCGGGTCTGTGGAGGAAAGGACAGCGAGTTTTCATTCTGGGATGGTCACACAATGACTCCCTGGTTTCCTTCAACAGGAGCATCTCCCGGTGCTCGAGATGGGTTCAGTCTTCTGAAGTGACTGGTGCCCACACAACTGTCTACATACATTTTCCGTGAGAGATGGAAGGGGAGAAATGTGCTAATTTATTAGACAGTAATTGGATATGGTGTGATAGTCTAACACTCTCATGTCTTAAGTTTTTGCTTTTGTTGTTGTTTTGAGACAGCATCTTATGTAGCTTAGGCTGATCTGGAACTCACCAGGTAGCTGAGGATAATCCTGAAGTTGATCTCCCTGCCTCTCACGTGTGGGTTCTGGGAACTGCAAGTGTGTACCACCATGCCCAGTTTTATATAGAACTGGGATTGAAGCTCAGGCGCCATTCATGCTAGGACTACCAATTGGGTTACATCCACCGTCATTGTGGGTCCTTAAGAGCTAGGTTTGGGTAAGGACTGGATAGATGCTCAGTGGTTAAGAGCCCCCTGACTGTTTTGTTGTTGTTGTTGTTGTTTAGAGGATTCAGCTTTTATCCCAGCACCCACATGGATGGCAGCTCACAAATATCTGTAACTCCAGCTCTGATGCTGATGTGCACAGATATACATGCAGGCTGTCCAGACACACACACACACACACACACACACACACACACACACACACACACACAGAGAGAGACAGAGACAGAGACAGAGAGAGAGAGTGTGTGTTTGTATGTGTTGTTTTACAGAAGTAAAACCTATAACTATTTTAGTGTGTGTTTGAACACAGGGCTGTGCACATGCTAGGCAACTATTCTGCAACTGAACTACATCTCTAGTTCTCTGTTTTTCCTTTGAGACAAGGTTTCATTGAGGATGGCCCCAGGGTGGCCCTGAACTTGCATACTTGGTCCCTATTTGGGCCGGTTTAGAAGGTGTGGCCTTGTTGGAGGAGGCCAGTCAGTTGGTACTGCCTCTGAGATTTCAAAAATTTGAGGTTTCAAAGTCCATGCTGGCCCCACTTTCCAATCTCTGCTTCCTGCTTAAGATGTGAGCTCTCAGCATCCACTCCAGCTACCGTACCTCCATCATGGGCTCCTTTTTTTTAAAAAAAAATTATTTTGTTTTTTCTTTTTTCTTTTTGGTTTTTCGAGACAGGGTTTCTCTGCATTGTTTTTGGAACCTGTCCTGGAACTCGCTTGGTAGACCAGGCTGGTCTCGAACTCACTGAGATCTGCCTGCCTCTGCCTCCCCAGTGCTGGAATTAAAGGCGTGCACCACCAACGCCTGGCTTAATTATTTTGTTTTTTCATGATGGTCTTCTTATGTATCCCTGACTGTCCTGGAGTTCCATCTGTCTGTACACCATGCTGGCATTAAATTTAGGGATCTGCCTACCTCTGTCTCCTGATCCCTGGGATTAGAGGAGTGTACCCCTGCCCCCACCTCTGCAGCCACCACTGTCAGGCTAAAATTTATGCATTTAATTTTATGCCTGAGTATTTTGCCTGCATATATGTATACACACCATGTACGTGCTTTATGTCCACGGAGATTACATGAACACTAGGATTTCTGGGAATGGAGTTATGGATGATTGGAAACCACCATGGGGGTGCTGGGACTTGAATCTAGGTCCTTTGCTAGAGCAGCAAGTACACTTACTCTCTGAGCCATCTCTCCAGCACCCCCACCATGGACTCTTATCCTTCAGGAACCAGAGGCCCAGATAAATTCTTCCATAGGTTGCCTTGTCACAGGTTGTCAGTGTTTTATCACAGCAGTAGAAATGTGTAACCAATACAGGTGTTTTATCTTTCTTATCACTGGAAAAGTCTAGAAAGTATGACAGATCCCTGAACACACAATGCACAGATTATGTTTTCTATTTTTACAAGTTTTATTGTTATTATTATTACTATTATCATTTTGCTTTTGGTTTTTCAAGACAGCATTTCTCTGTGAAACAATCCTGGCTGTCCTGGAAACTCACTCTGTAGACCAGGGTGGCCTTGAACTCACGGAGATTCGCGTGTCTCTGCTTCCTGAGTGCTGGCATTGAAGGGGTGCGCCACCACTGCCTGGCTGTTCCAGGCTTTATACATGTGCACCTGTGCATGCCTGTGTGATGTGCGAATGTGGAGACGAGGGTTGGTTCTCTTCCACTGTGCCCTTAAGGACTGGACTCAGGTCACCAGGCTTGGCAGCAGGCATCTTACACACTGAGCGATCTAGCTAGCCCTGTTGTCTGTTTTTTTGAGACCAGTCAAAGCTGGTGTGCTGGCTGGTGCCTGTAGTCCCAGCAACTAGGAGTTTGAGACCAGCCTGGGCACCATGTCAGGGTTATATTGTTGGACTGGCTTCAAACTCTCTTTGTCCTTGTCTGAGGCTGCAGGTAGGTGCCACCATGTTTGGCAGCTTGTAGCTTTATAATACTGCTTCCAACCGAAAGACTCCAGTTTCTTAGGAGGCTGGTTGACTCCAGGTTGGGGGCATAAAATATAATATACAATCCATGTCAGCAGAGAAACAGGCAGGAGCTGTCAGAATTCTGTTAAAATGACTCAGCCAAGTTGAGCATTAGTAAATACAATTTATTAAATGCAATGGTTAAGTTTAGAAGTTCATTGTGTGTGCTGTTTTGACTAATCGGCTATCCTTTTGAAAGGCCATAGGCTGGGAAATGTAACCTAGCTGGTAGAGCATTTGCCTAGCACACAGACTTTGGGTGCCATTTCCAGCTCTGTGTCATCCTGGCTTGGTGGTTTGGACTCGTCTCTGGAGAGAGGAGGCAGGAGGACCAGCAATTCAAGGTCATTCTTGGCTACATAGAAAGGTCAAGGCCATCTTGGGATATGTGAGAGCCAGTTTCAGAAAACAAGCAAACAAAAAACTCAAAAACAAAGGTAATAGGAGACTAAATCATTTTAAATAAAGGAATCATTGAATAAAGGAAAATAAGTAAGTTCTGCTGTTCATATAAACTATGCCACAAGGCAAGGAAATAGAAGATCGAGAGATGCGTTCCCTTATAAAGTGTATTCTAGCTCTTTTCAAATTTACCTATTGTATTGTACAGTGTTCTGTCCACACGTATCACTGCAGGCCAGAAGAGGGTACCAGACCTCATTACAGATGGTTGTGAGCTGGGAATTGAACGCAGGACCTCTGGAAGAGCAGCCAGTGTTCTTAACCTCTGAGCCATCTCTCCAGCCCATATTCCAGCTCTTAAAACAGAGCCTGAGTGTGTTTGCTTCACAGTTCCTAGTACATCAACTAATCCAGCCACTGAATATCCATGTCTAGATTCTCCCAAAGGCTAAATTGAAAAAAAAAAAGGAGTACCGAGAAATCTGTGAATTGATAGATTTGACTACATATGAAAAACATATAAAGCTGGGCATGGTGGAACATGCCCATAGTTCCAGCACTTGGAATTAAGGGCAGAGAGATGGTTTGAGATCAGCCTGGGCCACAGAGCAAAAAAAAAAAAAAAAAAAAAAAAAAAAGAAAGAAAGAAAGAAAGAAAGAAAGAAAGAAAAAGTCCAGTCTAAGCTATGTAGGGTTACCCTGTTTTGAGAAACAAAGCAAAACAATGATTGAAGATGTTGCTATGCGTAGAACACTTGCTTAGCGTGCACACAAGGCCCTGGGTTCAATCCCAAACATCGTAGAGTTTACAAACTGGCTAGGGAAGGCTGAGTCACAGTATATAAGTGTCCATATTTGGGTGCGAAAACTACGAATATGCAAGGAAATGATTGCTTTCATTATAATTCTATCTGTGGCAAGAGGGAAGGGCTATGCTAGAGATAGGGGTGTTTTGGTATCTACAAAAGTTCTATTTCCTCTGGGTAGCATTTTTCAAGGGTGGTTATAATAGTTTGTTAAATTCCACCTGTGTTTTCTGTGAGACGTGTTGACTGGACATGGTGGCGCACACCTGTAATTCCAGTACTTAGCGTTGGGATGAGAGGATGGAGAACTCCGATGCAGGCAGGGCGGTGCAGTGAGACCTACCTTCCAAACCAAACCCTGGAACAGAACAGTCAGCCGTAGGCCACTTGCCTAACCTCCCTAAGGCCCTGGATTCAATGCTCAGTACTGCAAATAAGGCAAAACCGAAAAGAAGAAAGGGAGGGAACCAAAACTAAAACCAAGGCTGGGCATGGCAGCTCAGACGGAAGGAGCAGGAATTCACTGCAAGCTCCTGTAACAAGTTTGACACCAATCTGGGCTATAGGGAACCTTGTGTAAAACTAACATGCAAAACAAATTCCAAACAAAACAGTATAACCCAAAGCAAGCAAGCAAACCCCAAACTCAAAATGTGTTGATCATGTTCCATTTATCTGACACAAGATACATTTTTTTTTTTTTTTGCAAAAATCTTGTTTAAAGCTAAGACCTCGGTCCAGAGAAGGCATCTAGAGCTCCAGTTCCCTCTTTCCTGGAGGCCCGGGTTCGGAATCTATTTTCTCCTAACTGTTCTTTTCACTGCTTCTTTTCCTCCTACATGCAGCCAGCTCAACAATGCAGGCTTGAAGGGCCAGCTCCAATCATTGCAGAGTGGAGAAGCGCTGACAGCTAGTGTCCTGTTGCTGCTCATTAGGTGCTTTACTCCACTGACCCAGTATGCCAGCATTGTAAGGCAGAGGCACATTGTCGTTCTATAGATAAAGGGACAGAGTCACTGTGTGCAGACAGCATTTTTTACTCCTTGCTATTTGTGAAGATAAGGATCTGTTTACAGATATTTAGAAATCATGCCATTTCTTTTGACGCAAGATTGTGCATGCTTATGAGGCATCATGTGATGTTTATATGCATGTGTACAATGTGCAATGTTCCAATTAGGGTGAACTGTCCCGCAAACATCACTCCTTTGTGGTAAAACCAGAAACACTCAAAGTCCTTCAGCTCTTCTTTTTTTTGTACCACTAGGACAGGGCCCCTCCCCCACCTGTCCTGTCCTGGAATTTGCTCTGTAGACCTGGCTGGCCTCAGAGTCTTTTGAGTGCTGGGATTAAAGGCCCGTGCCACCACACCTGGCGCTTCAGCTCTTCTGTGGTATTATCCTTAGCTACCTCACAGTGCAGCAGAGCATCAGACCTTACTTCTGCTATAACTTAGGGCCTGATCAACCTCTTCCCCCAGCTGTATTTTTATGTGTGGTGTTCTCCATTCTGTGTCCTATTGCGTGGGCCACCCTGACCTTTAGTAAACCTTTCTTCCTTTACTAGTTTTCCAGCATTTTCTGGGGGAACACACAGCATTTCCTCATCCAGTTATTTCTTCTGAGGGATTTTCCAGGAATTCCATTTCGTCTGAAGGTTTTCCTCATATTTTATTTGAGCTTCATGTCTTTTGATCAAATCTTCTTCCCCTCTCCTGTTTTCCCCAGACCATTTCCAACATGTTCCCCTCTGAATGTCAAGTCTTTTTTTAATAGCCGCCTGCTGCCCATGTGGACAAAGTTGTGGGTCATTCACTAGATAATCTCTGGTTTGTGATTTTCTTTCTTTGTAGACAGGGCCACTATATATACACTTCTCTTGCCTTGGTGATAGGATAGGGTCCTTCAAGTGCTAGGATTTTTTTTTTTTTTTTTGGTTTTTTGAGACAGGGTTTCTCTGTATTGTTTTGGAGGCTGTCCTGTAACTAGATCTGTAGACCAGGCTGGCCTTGAACTCACAGAAATCCGCCTGCCTCTGCCTCCCGAGTGCTGGGATTAAAGGTGTGCGCCACCAACGCCCGGCAAGTGCTAGGATTTTAAGATGTGCCATTATGCTCAATCCAGCTCTGGATTTTGGGCTGTGAACTGGGACTTTCACAGCGTGCTTACAACAGTGCCTAGCTTACAGATGGTGCTCTAGAAGTGCTGTTGTCTGGCTGGCCTTGGTGGCACGCTTGCCAATACAGAGAGAGGAGGATCAGGAGTGCAGGGTAGCTCTAACTTCACAGGGAGTTTGAAGCCAGCCTGGGCTTCACAAGACCTTGTCCTAAGTTAGAGACAAAAAAATATGGCTCCTGGTTCAAGTCAGGCGGGAGGAAACCAGCACAAGGACCAATCACGGAGCTGCATCACCGGAGAATGAAGCTTGTGCGCGTCTGTGTGGAACAAAGAACCCTAACCTAGACACTGAGCAGTCTGCTGTGCACCCCCCCTTTTGAAGACTGATGTTTACTCTGGAGCCCAGCTAGCCTGGCACTTGCTATGTTGAGCAGGCATGCTGGTTTACAGTTCCCGAGGTCGGTGACCAGGCATGCTGGTTTCACACTTCCCGAGGTCGGGCTGCCTCTAGATTAAAGGCAAGCATCACCTACCAGGCTACGTTCTTCACACGAACAACGCCTTCTTCTAAAAGTGCTTACTGTGCGAGTCAGAGACCGCTATTAGAAGGAAGCCCATGAAGACAAATGAGAAGTGAAAACGACACAGATGTATCGAATAAATGTGAGTCTCTTATCAGACAGCACCGGAGGAGGTCTGTGGCCTGGCCTCCCAACACTTGCACATTTTAATATCAAGCTGTTCATGTTTTCTATGAGCCTGGGAGTCGCTACCCAGATGGGGGTGCCATGTTCTTGCCAACCTAGAGCCTCAGGTCACATTCTTCGCACACGCCCCTCCAGGGCCTCGAGCTCAGCCAGCACCTCCTTGGGCAGATCCTGGTTGACTTGCTCTGTCAGGTAGTTCCTAATATCGCGAACCTCCTGTTCCCAGAAGTCTTTGGGGATGGAGAACAGCTGACTGGTGTCTATTGCTCTGAGGCCACTGAGGTCCAGGGCTCCTTCCTTTGGTACTAGCCCAATGGGAGTCTCTTGGGCACTGTCTTCTCCCTCTAATCGTCTGCAGACCCAGTCTAGCACACGAGCATTCTCCCCAAAACCTGGCCACAGGAAGCGGCCTGCTTCATCTCGCCGGAACCAGTTGACGTGGAAGATACGAGGCAGCCGGGCTCCTTTGTGTCCCTCCATGCTCAGCCAGTGTTGGAGGTAGTGTCCAAAGTTATAGCCAAAAAAAGGCCGCATGGCAAAGGGATCATGCATAATGATCTTTCCTAGGATATAAAGGAGGGTAGAGATGGGAAGGGGACCCTGTGTCCAGCTGGCAGAGGTTGGGTAAAAGTCCCAGGTCTGAAGCGTCTTCAGGGAAAGTGAGGACAAGGGATAGGAGAAAGGGAGTCAAAGGGGGAGCAGGGACAGAGATGTAAACTCACCTTTGTGTTCAGCAGCGGCGGTGGACTCGGAGCGCATGGAGCTACCCACAAACACCCCATGACGCCAGTTGAAGGCCTCATACACCAGAGGTACTCCTAGAACGACACCGAACAGGCCTATAGACAACCCTTTGCTTCCATTTCCAGACCCCACGGCTCCTGCAAACTTTGCATTCACCATGGGAGAAGGGGCTAGGCCGCAGCATGGGGAAGTGAGGGGCTCTGGGAGCATTAAGCACAGGCAGGTTGCACTGTGGCTGCAGAGCTGGACGACAAAGGCACAGAGCCCAAATGCACTTTACCTTTGGGTCTGCGGCCTCCAAAGATGATGGCATCAATAGGGACACCCTCTGGGGCTTCCCAGGCGGGGTCCATGATGGGACACTGGCGAGCCGGGACACAAAAGCGTGAATTTGGATGTGCACAGGGTTCCTTGTCACCTGGATAGGAAATGCAAATACCATCACTTCCAAGATAACCTCCACTGGCAACACAGGCACACATGAGCACGCACAGTGATACATTTTTTCTTTTAGTTTTTCTTCTTTTCATGATGTTGAGGCTTATTCTGGGGTCTTATACATGCTAGACAAGTCCTCGTCCACTTTGGTTTCTTTTGGTTTCACCAGCTGCTTATAAACTTGTGTGTTAAGGAAGAAAGGAGAGGGGACCCAGGGAGTCCCATAGCGATCAGGCTGTTTATCCACTGATACTGCTACACAACAGTGGGGGACCCAGGGATGATACTGCTACACAACAGTAGGGGAGGATCCGGGGAATCCCATAGCGATCAGGCTATTTATCCATTGATACTGCTACATAACAGTGGGGGAGGACCTGGGACTTGACTGGGCACTTCAGATACTTGGCATTGACCAGGACTTACGGAAACAGTCAGATATTGGCATGCATAATAATTTTATTCCCTGAAACCTTATTTACAGGATTATTATTTCTCAAACTAATTTACTAAGCCTAAAGCAAAACCTAAGAATGTCGGGTCAGTATTTCAAACAATTGGCTCTTCAGTAACAAACCAGGGAAGACAATCTCCTGAGCTACCAAAATGCAGACAGGACTTGCTTTTATTACACATATTTACTTGTTTATCGTGATGGGGGTTAGGGGTTGCCATGGCATGCATGCGGGAGTCAGAGGACAACTTGCTCAGTCTGCTTCCTCCACGAGGGTCCTGGGGATCTAACTCAGGTATCAGCCTTAGTGGTAAGCACTGTGACGTGCCGAGCCATCATGCCAGACCGGTCACTGATTTTAAACTAATAGAACTTTGGTTATTTCTCTGGGCCTGCCCAGACCCTGACAGAGTTGTACATTAGGGCATGAAGTCCATCAGGGAACCAAGTCAGTAAGTAGCACACGTGCGAGCACCACTGGGGAGACGGAACAGTGCCTTCTCCACTGGAAGATGACGATCAGACTGGAAGTGGGGGGTGAGCGAGCCATGGGTCAGCAAGTCTGTCCCTGCCACCTCCCAGCCTAGGGCCCTGGTGCGGGGTATTTATGGTTCTGAGAACTGAAGATGGACATGGGACTCTAGTTATATCAGTGAACTCAGGGTTGATGAAAGGGTTGGGAGACTAGCCTGTAGGGAAGATTATCATCTTTGGATTTCCCAGTTGGGTGGGGACACTGGGAGACCTAATGATGTAGTCAGAGAGAAGAAAGGCTAATCAAAAGGACTGCTAGGCCATCTGGAGAACTCAGGCCTTCGGTGACCACAAGCCCTTCCCGTGCTGTGCTCTTTCCCTGTAACTGCAGCAGGCAGTAGAAGCTGAGTGCTGAGAGTTCAAGGCTTGGGGAGGGATGGGTCTCTAAGGCACCCTGGTAATGTCAGGGTCAGGAAATCAGCCTCCAGGAAAGTGTGAAGCGCAGAAGGGTTACAGTGGAGCAAGGCGTGGGCAGGGCAGGGTAACTTCAGACACTGACGTAAGCAAGGGAACACAGGAGCCAAGTGGCAAAAGAGACAGGCTTCCTTCTTTCCAAGCAGGTCAAATGTTAGCAGCCCAGTTCCTTCTGTAGCAGTTTTCCAAGTAGTTCGTCCCTCAACCCCAGCTTAAATTTGCTATTGACAAGTGCTATGTATTTGACAGTGTTAAACTCCTTTTATATAAATTATTTAATCCTTCCATAATCGTAACAGGTGTGTACTATGACAAACCCCATTCAACTGGTTGGGAAAACTTAAGGGAAGTTAAGTAATTGCTCAGATCCCCAAACAATGATTAATGGATCAGGGACATGAACATTAAAGTCACTAAGGCTGGAGACTGGCTGCTTTTGCTTCAATTCCCAACACCTACATGGTGGCTCACACCTTCTACAATTCCAGTTCCAGGGGAGCTGATGCCCTGTTCACAGCATGCATTTGATGCACAGAGACACATTTGTAGGCAAAACACACATCTACATAAAAAAAAAAGTTCTGAGCCTCGAGGCCTCTGTCACAACTTCCTCACCCACATACCAGGTTTCCAGGGCTTCCCGAGCCAGGAGGTTACAGTGACACCAGGTGGAAGAGGCTGGTCAATGCCTTCCCAGTACACACCGCCATCACTGGTCTCCGCCACATTGGTGAAAAGAGTGTTGCTCTGGATTGTGGCCATGGCATTGGGGTTGGTGGTAGCAGAGGTGCCAGGGGCCACCCCGAAGAAGCCATTCTCAGGGTTGATGGCCCGGAGTTGACCTGCCAGACGTGAAAGATAGGAAAAGCTGAGCTGTGAGGCTGAGGGGGTCCTCTGTCCCTTTTTAGGACCCTAGATCTGATAAAGAGGAAAGGCTTTGTTTCTGGGGTTGCTAGGCTAACTGAGGAAGGGACCAGGTTGGTTGTTTAGGAAAAAAGGCCCCTCACCTTCGCCGTCAAACCTCATCCAGGCGATGTCATCCCCTACACACTCTACTTTCCAGCCCGGCAATGCAGGCTGCATCATAGCCAGATTGGTTTTGCCACAGGCGCTGGGGAAAGCAGCTGCCACATAGCGCTTTTTCCCTGCAGGGTTGGTGATCCCCAAAATCTGTGTTGGATAAAGGGAACAGAATGAAGTCACCAAAAGTCAGGGCATAGTCTGCATAGATAAGGACAGCTAATGGGTAATGGGGCAGGAAGGAACAGGAATGGACACTAATGTTTATCCACTAAGCAGGTGTCCCGCCCTGCCAGCACGGCAAGGGTAGCAGTGTTCAGCAGCCTGGGGCTAAGACTTAGGCTTTCAGGCTCACCTTCGTGGCACCTGGCAGGTAGGAGGCAAGGCTGAGGCAGATTGCCAAGGCTTCCCTCTCCCCTCCCCACAGCTGCCCTGCCCCCTCCCCACAGCTGCCCAGCTCCTCCAGGCCCTCACCAGCATGTGCTCGGCCAGCCAGCCCTCATCCCTGGCCAGGCGAGAGGCGATGCGCAGGGCAAAGCATTTCTTGCCCAGCAGGGAGTTACCACCATAGCCGCTGCCGAAGGAGACGATCTCCCGCTGGTCTGGCACATGGCCAATCAGGGTTTTTTCCGGATTGCAAGGCCACTGGCTCACAGGATCTCCTGGAGACAATGGGGTCATAGTGCAGCTGGCGGTGGCATCAGAAACCCGGGTGTCAGGGACTGGAGGGACCAAGGATTGACCCCAGAGACACTTGGACGCACTGGCAGTGCTGGGGGGGGGTAGCTAATTTCCTCCCCCTTTTTAGTACCTGTCAGCTTTTGTGCCTCTATCAGACATGGAGACCGATGTCTGAATCTTGTGTAAACTGTTCTCCAAACAGTGTTACTCCAGTCCAGAATGCTTCCCAGGGCCTTGGGGAGTAATCGTTCATACCCACAATTTCTTTGTGGGTGGTAAGATTTGGGGTTCCCTCTGAGTCCAGGAAGGACTCAGTGTCCTACTCTAGACAGGATAGGAACTCACCATGCCCAGTCAGGGGCTGGCCCACTGAGTGCAGACATTTGATGAAGTCACCGTCTCCCAGGGCCTGAAGTACAGGTGTTCCTAGGCGGGTCATAATACGCATGCTTGCCACCACATAGGCTGAGTCAGTGAGTTGCACTCCAATGCGGGACAGTGGGGAGCCCACAGGACCCATGCTGAATGGAAGCACGTACATGGTGCGGCCTGTGGAGGAAGGTGTCCCTTGGATGAGGGATTCCAAACCCACTCCTATCTTCAGTGCCCTGTTTCTGTGTCCCTGACTTGTTACCCTGCATGCATCCTGGAAATCTCTCGTCCACAGCTCGCTGGAAGTCATCTGGGGACATCCAGTTGCCCAGCTGCCCACGGGCCCCACCAGCGAGGAGGGGCACTGTGTCCCGCTGTGAAGGAGTTACAATCACCGTCTTGCTTTCTACCCGTGCCACATCCTTGGGGTCTGTGCGAGCCAGCCAGCTGGGGGAGAGAGGATTGCCAGGAAATGGTGTCTAGTAGATTTTACTTACCTTCAGACTCATTTTTTTTTCTTTTTGGTTATGTTTTTTTCTTTTTTTAAAAAATTATTTATTTATTACATATACGCCAGATTGAATTGTAGATAGTTGTCAGCCACCATGTGGTTGCTGGGAATTGAACTCAAGACCTCTGGAAGAGCAGTCAGTGCTCTTAACCTCTGAGCCATCTCTCCAGCCCCCTTGGTTATGTTTTTTTTTCAAGACAGGATCTCACCATGCAGTTCTAGCTGTCCTGGAACTCACTAGGTAGACCAGGCTGGCCTGGAACTCACAGAGATCTACTTGCCTCTGCCTCTAAGTGCTGGGATTAGACGCATGCACCACTAAGCCTGACCAGACTAATTTTTAAGTCCAACTTTGACTCCAGGTCTGTTTGCCTTATGTTTTCTTATCCAATTGCATTTTAGTCCCTTTAGGCTTTGTGTCACTAAGAGGTGGTTTCTGCAAGGCCCAGCTTTGGAGCCTCTACCCCTGGCAAATGTTTCATTAAGTGAGAGTGGGGCAGTAGGTCCCTCCCCACCCCCCAAAAAGTAAGAGCTCCAATCTGTAAATTCATATCTTTTTCATTTAATGTGAAACATTCACTTCCTAGTCCATTTCCCCTCAAGCTCCCATTCCAGTTCATTCCACTGGTATTGTCTAGAAACATCTTTGTCTTGGTGAACCCAAAGAGACCTCAGTCTAAGCAGTAGCCTTTATTTGGAGGGTTGCTAGTTTCGAGGCTTACCAGTTCTTATACTTGGGGAGCTTCCGGATAAGACCCTGCTGTTCCAGCAGGGCCAGTGTGGCAGCGTTCTCTGCCTCAGTCCCGTCACAAATGTGGACGCCCTCTGGTCGGCACAGACGGGCACTGCGCTCCACAAAGTCCCGGACTCCAGCTGGCAGCTGGCCCAGATCTCCACTGAGCACACGCAGGGTCTGGATGCTGCGGCATGGTGACCAGCACGAGGGCCGCAGCCCATGCCAGCTCACCCTGAAAGAGGCAAAACAGAGAGGCAGCCATGCAGTGGCTGTCATGGGAGACAGCTACTGGGGAGGGAGAACAGGAAGCTTGAGCCTCAGGAAAGAACTACAGCATATCCAGTTGCCGGCAGTAAGACCAGGTTACGGTCAGTACACGGAAGGAGTTCAGACGACCTGACTTGTAGCCTTTCTGGGGTATGTGTCTTCTGGTGAGGGACAGAGGTCAGAGGTCAGATACGCATACAAGCACATGTCTGGCTGGAGAAGTGTGCATGCTGATACTGCACGTGTAGCCCATGCCCTGTTTTACTATGTCGGCTGCAGGGTTAGAAAAAAGCTGGTACTCTATGGCCCAAGAGTCAAGGAACTGCCCAGATGAGAGAAAGCTTCATAAGGCTATTTTAAAGAACCTCACCAATGTTCTTTCACAGTTTTATGTTAAAGTGACAGTTATTTTTATCTTTTCCTCATGTAACTTGTGAGATGGCAGAGCCCCTTTCCAATGCCTGGGTTTTAGATTAGGGTTCTTGCATGAAGACAACTGGTGTTGGGCGCTCAGGTAGTGCATTTATTCACCTGGGTCAACAATGGTTGGTTAGTTAAGTATTTTTTTTAACTAAGTGAAAGGCTGGTTAAGAAGAACGAATGTCACCGGCCAGGGGTCCATGTCTAGATTCTCAGAAGGGCAGGGTCTCTGTATTGTTTGCCCTATTATGCTCCTGGAAGATAGTAGCGTCTGCTGTGATTGGTCTGGACCCAAGACAGTAAAGGCCAAGAGAGGTAGTTACCCTTCTCATGTGCAAGGCCTCACCTGCCAGAAACCCAGAGCAGCCCAAGATGGCTTGAGTCCCTGGCCGCCTTAGTAGCAGGGGTTGGTGGTCAGAACACAAGAGCACAGGAAAGTCAGATCACAGGCTACATGCCTGCGAAAGGAGAATGGAGTTCTTGGATGTGGGGTTTGGGCCTGGCTGGCCTGTTTTCAAGAAGACAAGAAAGGCGGCATGCTTAGTGTGGCCCTAGGGGGCTGGGGCACAGCAAAGCAGGGCTCTGTCCAGGAACGTTTCCCCGAGAAATTAATTTTAAAGCCACAGTCTTGATGGCTTCTCTCCCTTGGAATCTACGAAGCAATGCTTCTCCCAGCCCAACCCCCGTCCTCCTGCATGCCTCTAGGAGGGACCGGCTCACTGGCCCTCCTAGACCACGCACATGGACTGATCAAGTAAAATCTGCGAGGAGAGATAAGGGTTTCGACTCAGTGTCAAAGACCATGGAGGAGGGGACACACAGAGGAGTGAGGGGAGCCAGCCAGGACAAGCTTGGGACTTAGGACCCGCTAGGGGAAGAAGCCAGACAAGTTAAAAAGAAGGCAATCTGCCTGGCTTCTCCCATCTTGCTTCTCTCCCTCCCTCCCTTCCTCCTCAGTCCCCAGGTCCCAGAGGCTTCACTGGGCTTCACGCCAGGTTCCATTCTCGGGAGGCAGCGAGTGATGTTTACCTTCTACCTTCTTTAGGAAGCTTTGAGCTTGGGCTCCCAAAGGCTCAAGCCCTTTGGCCTCTGGGCCTTATGGCTCCTCACAGCACAGAGGGGTGGACTGGGAGCCCCAGTCTGAAAGAATTACATCTGGTAAGTAAACGATTTGCAGAGACAGGGCTCGGGAAGGTAAAGAGATTCAGAGTGGCAGATAGAAGACAGCACAAGCCGGCAGGGAGGGGTAGGAGAGCACAGAGGCTGGGAGAGCTTGCGCGGCTGGAGGTGGGGGGCGGGGGGCGCACCACCATGAGACCCAGAATGGTAAACAGCCGCCCTGCCAGTCTCTTCCTAGGATGGGAAACAAGCGGAGGCAGCTCCGATGGTGGAGCACAGAGTGGGCCCCGGGCTATGGGTCACTCACCGCAGGCTCGGGAGGTACATAGCAGCCATGGCACCTGGGCTGGCGCTGCGGGGTGGCCACAGGAACCAGCGCAGTCGGGGGAGACCAGGAAGGCGGGGAGGAAGGAGCGTGGCAAAGCCAAAGGGAGCTGAGGTTGGGCGGGAGGCGCTTAAAAAGGAGGCGGGCAGGCGCCGGGGCGGAACCTAGCTGGTTCTCTCGCCCGCCCGTCTGTGGGCCAGCTCACTGGCCCGGGTTCCAGGCACCAGCTCCGTGAAGCCTCCGCCCCACAGGCATCATACCCTCAAGCCTATTCTCCCCATTGGAGGTTTGACTTCACCTTGGGTACCGCCCACTCCGAGGCTCTGCCCCACGGACCGCCACGCTGCAGGGCTACTGATGTAACTTTGAAGGCTGTTGCTCCTTAGAGATAGCAACCAAGAGACATCGAATGTCAGACACACTAAGAATGAAGAGACCAGGAGCGGGAGCCCAGAATAACCAGATGTTTAAAACCTCAGGGACCGACTTTGCCTTTCCCACGCACTCTTAGCCTTAGGCTTTTCTTTCCAGGGTCCAAATGCTAAGTTCTCCTTAGTCCTTACATAAAAAAACGAAAGCAAACAACTGTTGTCCTTGTCCTGCTTTTTATCAAGGGAGTTTTCTCTAGCACCATGAAATTGGTGGACTCTTTCAGGCCCGGGGACATTTCCTTGGTCCTCTAACCCCCTCCCCCGCAAATCCTAAGGAACATATCAGTCCTCATCTTGGCACCATCATAAAGTCCCTGAGTAATTTTTCAACTTGTCGTCCCAACGTGGTAACACTGGGTTTCTACGATCCAAATGCTGTAGCGCTTCAAAGCCAACACATCTATGGTGAACTTGTGCTCAGAATCCTTTCTGGTAACTGCACGTTGGCTCTCTGGAGAACCACCAGGTCATGTGGGTCTGCCCTTGCTTCTCTCAGGGCCAGTTTGTGTGGCTCACACTCTGACCACAGCCATCAGGATCCTCAGAGATGGGGACATGAGACTCTTGTCTGAGACTTTTTCTGTAAACTTTGGAAATGAGCTCATTTTCTGCTGGATTGCTGAGCTGGGAGAATATAAACTGGGCTCTGTTGGATGTCAGCTTGGTACTGCAAAGCGTGAGCCTGCCTGAGACAGAAGCAGGGAAGAGAGAAAGACCAATAGATTTCCCCTAGCCCCCACAGTGTACAATAAATTTCCCCTAACCTCTCCTCCTCCTCCTCTCCTCCTCTCCTCCTCCTTCTTCTTCATTTATTTATTATATATTTGAGTTTTGCCTGCTTGCTTGTCTGTGTGAGGATGCCAGGTCCCCTGGAACAGTTGTGAGCTGTCATGTGGGTGCTGGTAATTGAACCCAAGTCCTGTGGAAGAGCAGTCAGTGATCTTGACTGCTGAATCATCTCTCTAGCCCCCCTAAAGGCTTCTTAAGCTCCCACTTATTCTGGGGGTCTGGGATGGAAACTGTGAGGGGAGATGCTCAGTATGCAGGGGACTGAGTTGGGGCAGGGTCTCCTTAGCAGCTGAGGGTTTCTCTCTTCCTATCCTGTTCTTTCTGGGGGAGGTGGTCCAGGATTTCTTACTCCTTGGAAGCCATGTGGACCATGAGGTTCACCACTTTATTGCTGTAGCCAAATTCTTTATCATACCTGGACAGGAGTTTGACAAAGTGGTTGTTGAGAACAATGCTGGTCCCACTATCAAACATAGAATGGATGTTGCTGTTAAAGTCTCAGGGAACAGCCTTGTCCTCAGGATGAGGCCAGGATGCCCTTTAGGGGGCCCTCCAATGCCTACTTCATCACCCTCTCTCTATCTCTCCCCCCTCTCTCATCTACCTATCTATCTATTTATTTTTGAGACAGGGTCTCTCTGTGTAGCCCCAGCTGACCTGGAACTCACTATGTAGATCAGGCTGGCCTGGAACTCACAGAGATCCCCCTGCCTCTGCCTCCCAAGTGCTGGGATTAAAGGTGTGCACCACCACTTGGCCACCACCTTCTTGGTATCTCCCAAATGGCAGTTTTCTCCAGGCAACAGGTCAGACTCAGGACACCAGGGGAGTATGAACACAGAGGGCATGTTAGTGAGCTTCCCGTTCAGCTCTGGGATGGTCTTTGTCCGTAGCATTGGCAGCACCAGAAATGCAGGAATGATGTTTTGGGCAGCCTCATGGCCATTACATCACAGTTTCCTGGGGGATGGGAGGGTCACCCAAGGTCTTCTGGGTGACAATGATAGCATAGACTGTGGTCATAAGTCCCTTGATGATGCTGAACTATTTTCATGGATGACATTGGCTTGGGGATGGAGGTTGCTCAGCAGTGTGTGGTATAGAAGGCATTGCTGACAAAAGAAGGCATTGCTGACAAACTTGAGTTGTTGTATCTTCCATGGTTTACATCCTTCCCAAACAGGGAGGTATCAGCATAAAGGGCAGAGATGATGACCTTTGTGTCTCCATCCTTCAAGAGGACCCCACCCTTCATGATAATGAAGAAACCACAATACACTTGGCATCAATGTCAATCCATTTGATGTTGGCAGGATAACTCTTGGAAGATTAAAGACAAGTTTCCCATTTTCATCCTGGATTGACCATGGGACTTGCCATGGGTCTAATTATACTGGGACATGTAGACCACATAGCTGAGGTCACTGATGTCAACGATATCCACTCTGCTAGAGTTGAAAGCAGTCTTGGTGACTAGGCACCCAGTACAGCCAAGGCCATTCTTTCTAACCTCCACTATCACGTTTCAGGCATTAGGCTGGAGATGTGGCTGTTTCTGGAACTAGGTGGAGCAGAAAGCCTATATTATTGTGACAAGAGTGAGTACATTTGTTCTTTTACTTAAGCTAATTTTAAGAGGATTCTGCCACTTTCAATAAAAATGATCTTGAGCCGGGCGGTGGTGGCACACACCTTTAATCCCAGCACTCGGGAGGCAGAGGCAGGCGGATCTCTGTGAGTTCGAGGCCGGGCTGGACCGACAGCCTCCAAAACAATACAGAGAAACCCTGTCTCATAAAACCAAAAAAATGATCTTGATTCTTTTTTGCCTCCTCAGAGTTTTGTGCTGGAGTGTAGTGGCACAAGGATTGCTGGCCTCTAATGCTGGTCCCCAGTGCTTCCCATTCAGACTTTAGTTTCATGTCACCCTCACCCCATGCCCCACCCCATAGTCCCCGCATGAGAACCCTGTTCATATTCACCTTGCCATCATCACCTTACTGCATTTTAGACTTCAGGGTGTTCACAGTAACATCAGCTTGGTTGACTTTCTGAAGGTCATCACCTTGTTCACAAGTCCTCCAGCTCCCATGGTTCTCTAATCTCAGCAAATGGTACCACATTGCCCCGGAGAGCTCCTGAATCAGCCTACAGTAATTTTTCTAATCTTACATAGCTAATTAGACACCAGGACCTGTAGAATTGTTCTACCCAATTCGCTCTTAAATCTGTGTCTAACACTTTAGCGCAGGGCTTACCTTTCACCTGGCTTTACAAGATAGCTTCCGAAGCACTTCCTGTGCCGTACTTTTCAACACCCCATGTGCCTTCTGCATGTATAGGATCACTTTGGAGAGAGAAGAGAAAGGATTGATATTCATGGTGTAGGTAGACAGTACGTGCAAGTCTCACTCAGTCCACAATAACTGTATCTTGCAGATGTAGACACTGACTGTTAAGTCATTTGCTCAAAGTTGCACATCTGGCTGGCAGAAGAATGGAACCTTGTTCCAGGTCTTTCTGACTCTCATTACCAAGGTTTTTTTCTTCACTGAAATTCCATAATATATTATTTCTTTGGTGTATTGTTTGCTAGACCCTATCTCAAAAAACAAATGGGGGCCCGGCGGTGCTGGCGCACGCCTTTAGTCCCAGCACTGGGGAGGCAGAGGTAGGCAGAGCTCTGTGAGCTCAAGACCAACCTGGTCTACAAGAGCTAGGTCCAGGACAGGCTCCAAAGCTACACAGGGAAACTGTCTTGAAAAACCAACCAACCAACCAACCAACCAACCAACCAACCAACCAGCCAAACAAACAAACAAACAAACAAAAAAATAAAACAAAAAACCTAAATGGACAGGGGAGGGTTGGAGAGATGGCTCAGTGGTTAAGAGTACCCACTGCTCTTCCAAAGGTCCTGAGTTCAGTTCTTAACACCTACACGGCAGCTCACAACTGCCTGATTCCTTTTTCTGGTGAGCAGGTGTTCATGCAGACAAAGTATCAATATACATAAAATACATCAATAAATACAGTTAAAAAAAACAAATGAGGAGAAAAGAAGACTTCTAGGAGCCGGGTTGGTGGTGCACACCTTTAATCCCAGCACTCGGGAGGCAGAGGCAGGAGGATCTCTGTGAGTTCAAGGCCAGCCTGGTGTACAGAGTGAGTTCCAGGACAGCCTCCAAAACAATACAGAGAAACCCTGTCTCGAAATCCTCCCCCCCACAAAAAAAAGAAGACTTCTAAGAGTCTTAGACTAGGCCTAGGCTTCAAATCCTAATCTGGAGTTATCCCCTCCCCTCCCTTCTTGCTTGTCAAATCTGCTTTGTAGAGAGAAAAATTTAAATAAACCGAGTCTCGATTTCATATGTTCCCCACCAGTGTTCTCCCACGAAAATCACTTTGAGAATGATGATTGGGAGAAAGAATGACTTTTTTAATTCTTGGGACAGTTTCTCACTATATAGCCCTGGCTGGCCCAGGTTTGCTGTGTAGAACAGGCTAGCCTTGTCTCCAGTGTGCTGGGATTAAAAGTAGTTAGCGCCGCACTCAGCAAGTCCCGCATTTCTTCAATTTCTTTCCCACCATTTCCTTACCAGCTCCAGGAACACAGCAAGGGTGCGCTTTGGATTTTCTTGTATTGCTGTTGCTTGTTCCACTCTTTTTCAGCCTGCTCCCTCATCCTCAGCCTGCTCCTCCAACCTCAGCTGCTCTTCCAACCTCAGCTGCTCCCCCAACCTCAGCCTGCTCCTCCAACCTCAGCTGCTCCCCCAACCTCAGCTGCTCCTCCAACCTCAACTGCTCCCCCAACCTCAGCTGCTCCTCCAACCTCAACTGCTCCCTCATCCTCAGCCTGCTCCTCCAACTTCAGCTGCTCCCCCAATCTCAGCTGTTCCCCCAACCTCAACTGCTCCCTCATCCTCAGCCTGTTCCCCCAACCTCAGCCTGTTCCCCCAACTTCAGCTGCTCCCCCAACCTCAGCTGCTCCCCCAACCTCAGCTGCTCCCCCAACCTCAGCTGCTCCCCCAACCTCGGCCTCCTCCCCCAACCTCGGCCTCCTCCCCCAACTTCAGCTGCTCCCCTAACCTCAGCTGCTCCCCCAACCTCAGCTGCTCCCCCAACCTCGGCCTCCTCCCCCAACCTCAGCTGCTCCCCCAACCTCGGCCTGTTCCCCCATCTCAGTCTTCTCCCCCAACTTCTGCCTGCTCCACCAGATGGCACTGTGTCCAAACAGTGCCACCAGAAGGCAGGGTGTGACTAGCCTTGTGTGGGGACACCAGACCTTGAGCAGAAACCCACTTCCCCTTCGGCCTGGGAGCAGGCATTTATGTAATGTTTACTAAAAACAATTTAGTGCTTTAAAGCTTGATAGGGCTCAGATAAGGGCTGGCTCACTGAAATACCATGCCTTCCACACCTCCTATGGCTAGATGCCTCTTCCTGCCCCCTGTGGTGTCTCCCCCCCCCCCATTCTGGGGCCGGAGATTAAACCACCAGCCAGGAGGGTGAGAAGTGGAAAGAATGGTATGTAAATGGATGGCAAAAGTCCTTAAAAAGGGAAGCTCCTTTTTCTTAGAGAGACTTCTCCTGAGATTTCTTCTGAGAGCTCTCTCCTAAGCTGACTTGGGAAGATAAAGTTTTCTTAAAGCAACCGACCGGTCTCTGTGTCATCTATCCCGACCACCTCGCTACATTCTCGGATGCAGGCCGCACAGCAGGTGCGACAGCCTTGCCCTGCTCTGTGTTTTCTCTCCTTCTTATGGGCAATCTTGGTTTATCCCTTGAATGTTTCACAGACTGACTAGTGTTGAGAACAGTCCCAATTCGTCTGGGAGAGATACTAACCCCCAAATCCCTGTTGGATACTTGAAAACACAATATTAGCTCTGGGCATGGTGCACATGCCTTTAATCCTCTGGAAATAGAGGCAGGCAGATCTCTGTGAGTTCAAAGCAGGCCTTGTCTATCCAGGACAGCCAGGGCTACACAGAGAAGACCTATCTTGAAAACACAAGTGTGTGTGTGTGTGTGTGTGTGTGTGTGTGTGTGAAAGAGAGAGAGAGAGAAAGACTAGTACTTGTGTGTGTGAGAGAGAGAGACAGAGAGAGACAGAGAGACAGACAGAGAGAGAGAGACAGAGAGACAGAGAGAGAGAGAGAGAGAGAGAGAGAGACTAGGACTCAAGTTCCATGTACATCTCCTTTTTCTTACACACATGCATCTACAATAAAATTTGATTTATAAATAATCATAGTAAGTGACTGATAGTAAAGTAATAAGGGCCTGAGATGACGATAATGTCCCAAGCAAATACGAGGAAGCGAGTTTGGATCCCAGCACCCAGGTAGAAAGCTGGGTTTGGTGGCAGACATCTTTAATCCTAGTACTGAGAGGGAGAGACAGGAAGATCTCAGCTCACTGGCCAGTCAGTCTACCAATTAGGAACTCCAGGGTCAGTGGAGAGTAAGAGAGGCCTCCGCACGTGCACACACATAACATATACATACATAAAGCACATACACACACTGAAATAAATAAGCCAGGCATGTCTTTAATTCTATCACTTGGGAGGCAGAGGCAGGCTGGTCTACATAGTGAGTTCCAGGACAGCCAGAGCTATGTAGAGAGACTCTAGCTCAAGCAAGCAAACAAATAGAATACGAGGATAATTATGACAGCACACTATTGATGGAAGTTGTGAATATACAGTCATTCATTCTTTCTCTCTTCCTCCTTCCTTCTTTTTTTTTTTTGTTTTTGTTTTTGTTTTTTTTACGAGACAGGGTTTCTCTGTATTGTTTCGGAGGCTATCGGTCCAGCCCGGCCTCGAACTCACAGTGCTGGGATTAAAGGCGTGCGCCACCACCGCCCGTCCCTCCTTCCTTTTTGACGCAGGGTCTTTCTATGCATCACCGGATGGCCTGGAGCTCACTATGTAGACAGACTGGTCTCAAGTTTACAGAGATCCGCCTGTCTCTGCCTTCCTAGTGCTGGGATTAAAAGCATATGCCGCTATGCCTGGCTTTATAGTCTATTTCAGAGCCTCGTTGTACCCTTCTTTCTATGATGCAAGATGATACAATGCTCACATGAGACAAAATGTGATACAGGGTTAGGCTACTGTTGATCTGATGATGTGTCAGGAGAATCGTTTGCATCACCATGACTCGCGTGCTTTGTGCCTATTGGTGAGTAAAATAATGGCTAAATGGACACAAGAAATATGACACCAGGACAGCCTGGCTGCCAGCTATGACAGCTCCCAGCTGACTTTTCATGGAAGGTACTGTACAGGGCGAGAAGTTCTGAGATTTTCATCACAGTACTCAGAATGCCATTCATATTAGTTACTTTTCTTATTGCTGCAACAGAAATAGCTGACGCAGCAAGGTGGTGGGGGTGGGGCCAGTTTATTAGCTCAGAGGATTTAGTCCAACATAGCCGACTCTGTTGCTTCTGGGTCCCTAGAGCAGAGACCCCGGTGACAGAAGCATGTGAAAAGGAAGGCTGCTCGCCTCATGGCAGCTAGGAAGCAGAAAGCAAGAAAACAGGCAGGATCAGGTCAAGGTAGATCCCCGAGGACACAGCCTTAGCGACACACTTCTTCCAACGAGGTTCCATCTCCTGCTTTTCACAACCTTCCAATAATGCCGTCAGATTATGATGGATCGGCCAATAGATCAATCCATCCGTCAGATCAGAACCCTCAGAATCAGATAATTTCCCAAAGCCCATCAGCCAGCAAAACCCGAACCCAGGAGGACACTCCATATTCAAATGAGAACGATACAGTATAAAATTTAGCATTTTCTGAGCATGGTTCACACCTGCAATCCGGTACTCAGGAACTGAGGCAGAGGGATTTCCCTAAGTTGGAAGACAGCCTGGGGTACAGAGTGAGATCCTGACTCAAAACCAAATGGGTAAACAACCCAGAAAACTAACTTAGCTTTGGACCATGTTTCTCCACAGGCATTTAAAAATTCCAGGACGGGCTTCAAAACAATACAAACCCTGTCTCAAAAAGAACCAAAAAAAAAAAAAAAAAAAAAAAAAGAAAAGAAAAGAAAAGAAAAGAAATAGGGCAGTGAGATTGGCTAAAAAGCCCCTGCTGTAGCTACTTAAGCACGGTGGCGAAGGGACATTGTTGTACATGCTAAAACACACTCTGTGGCCAAAGGACTGTGTTGGAGATGCAGTGGCCCTTGCTGGGGCAGTGCGTCTAATGACTGGTCCTTATGAGGACACAGAAGCTTATCATCGCTGCTCCTCAACTCCTAAGGATCATATTGATTGCAACTGCAACAAAGTTAAACTTCTCCTCTCTGGCCCTTTCCCTCATTTCCCAATAAACCACATACATCCAAGTGGGGGCAGGCAGGTTCGAAGGCTGCACGCTTATATGCAGAGCCTCTCCCAGTCAGACATGGTGTGGAGGAGAGGTCGAGAAGGTCCTAGCTTAGAGTCTGTGGCTGAAAGCTGCCTCTCTGGGTACCACTGGGCTCTGGTGCAGATACCAGGTTTTCACATCACCAAACTCTGCTCAGATGTGTCTGAGCTCCAGCTCCAACTCTGGGTCCGTTTTGCTGCCCTGCACAAACAAAAGTGCTGAGTAGATCTTTTCATGGACAATGCGATCCTAATGGTGTCACCACGGACAAACGTGTAGGAGCTTCTCACGCTTTTAAAGAAAGCCTAAATCTCATCCATGAAGCGGCCTGCCACACTCCACCTTGTTCCTTCCTGCCACGCTGCTCACCGTCTCTACTCCCCTCTGGTTACGCTGGTCTTCAGTTTTATGATTACGTCTACCTCCTGCCTGCCTCAGAGCTTTACACATGTCCCCCTGCCGCCTGGAGTCCCCACCCTCCTCATGTTTTCCGGTATGATTATTGGACCAGCCCGTCCCTTACTCTGAAGTAGAAGAAGGTAGAGAAGGCCAATTCTGAGGCACTGATTTATGGATTCACTTAAAGCACTGCTTGGGCTGCCTAGTGCCAAGCATGACGATACTTGCTACCTGGAACAGAATGATCATCTGGAAAAACAGCCAAAACAATGAGCCGTTGCCCGTAACAACTGATGAATGCCACCAAGGCTTCTGTAAAAGCTTTCCTGATTGACCACCCCACCTTGTGGTATTAGACTGTAAAATGAGAATACAAACTAGACCTGGTATTGAAGCCTTTCAAGAGTTTTGGTCCACCAGTGACAGATACTCTCTTCTTCTGGTGTTCGAATGCTTATTCCATAAAGATCCCTACCACAACTCCTATTAGATTACATCTTCATGGCACCAGAGAGATGACTCACCAAGTTAAGGGTCATTAAGACTGATAACCTTGGTTTATTTGCTGGGACCTGCAGAATAAGAGAGAACTGATGCCTGTAATTTGTTCTTTTACCTACTCTCTCTTTCTCTAAATAAATAAATAAATAAATAAATAAATAAATAAATATTACATCTTCATGAAACAAGATCTCTTAGTACCCTATTTTATTTTATTTATTTTTATATCTTCATTATTATTATTTTAGAAACAATCTTATTTTATATTTCAATCACCCCATTCCCTCACCCTCCTATCCTCCCATGCCCCTCACTGACCCCCCCAATCCACCCCCACACACTCCCCAAGAATAATGAGGCCTTCCATGGGGGATCATCAAAGTCTGTCACATCATTTGGGGGAGGGCCTAGGCCCTCTTTTGTGTATCTGGGCTGCAATACTGTCCCTCAATAGGGAATGGGCTCCCAAAGTCCATTTGTGCACTAGGGATAAACTGTTAGAGGTCCCCTAGACTGCCCAGACCTCCTAGTTGGCACCCACATTCAGAGGGCTTGGTTCAGTCCACTGCTGGTTCCCCAGCTTTACAATTAGTACCCTATTTTAAAAGGATTTGTTTGCATCTGTAGTCACAGCTGCTTTGGAGACTGAGACATGAAGAAAGATGACTTAAGCATAGAAGCCCCAGGCCTGCTCAGGTAACGTAGTCAGATATTTCTGCTTCAAAATTAAAAAAAAAGTTCGTGTGTGTGTGTGTGTGTGTGTGTGTGTGTGTGTGTGTGTGCATGATTAAATTTTTTTAGGGTAGACGGGGGTGTTGGTGGCACACACCTTTAATTCCAACACTCGGGAAGCAGAGGTAGGCAGATCTCTGTGAGTTTGAGGCCAACCTGGTCTACAGAGAAAGTTTCAGGACATCCTCCTCCAAAGCAATACAGAGAAACCTTGTCTCAAAAAACCAAAAAAGAAAAAAATTTTTGAGGGCATGTTTGTATGCAGTTCCCTCAGAGACCAGAGCGAAAAGCAGGTGCTAAATCTCTAGAACTGGAGTTAGAGGTGGTTGTGAGCTGTCGCATGGGTTCTAGGAATCCAACCTGGGTCCTCTGGAAGAGTAGCCAGTGCTCCTAACTATACAGCTATTTCTCCAGCCTCTCTCTCTCTCTCTCTCTCTCTCTCTCTCTCTCTCTCTCTCTCTCTCTCTCTCTCTCTCTGTGTGTGAAATGTAGAAGCATCTTTGTACCTGGGACAAGAGTACAAGTAGTAGCCTACAAGCTTTGTGTTTAAATATGTAAAATATATAATTCATCTGGGCCAAATGATATGAACCTTTGATCCCAGCTACTTGGGAGGCCAAACAAAAGAATCCAAAGTTCAAGGCCAGTCTTGGGAACTTAGATCTCCCGACTACTAAAAAGAACTCTTTTCCTGTCATGCACTAAGCCCTTACATTTAATCCTCACTCCTCAGTACTTCCATTAAAAGAAATATAAATAATTTAAGGTAATAAATATTAAATAAAACATGTTTTTAATTTTTCTGCATTTATGTATACTTCTTAGTGTTCTAGGAGAACTTATTCAAATATGATGTTTACATAGAGTCCTCAGGGCTCCGACCAGAATGTGGAGATGTGGGGAACGGCAACTTTCAGACTAGGATCACCTCTCTTCCCACTTCAGACACCATTTTGGTCTGTAAGGGACTGTGTCCATGCAAACATCCATCTCTGTCCACCACCTCCTGAAAGCCACCCTTTGGACTCAGGGACATGGGTATCAGTAGTGAGGTCCAGCCATGGAGGGGAAAGCTCAGGAAAAAGTCTATGTGAGCCTAGAAGCAGGTATGAGCTCTTTGGGCAGGAAATTTCTGGACACCTGGAGTGTGATTCTGAGGAACCAGGGGCCTGGACCAGAGAAAGGTTGGATGTTTCACACCATGGGGTGGTTTCAGCCATAAAAAAGACAAGCATGAGCCGGGCGTTGGTGGTGCATGCCTTTAATCCCAGCACTCGGGAGGCAGAGACAGGTGGATCTCTGTGAGTTCGAGGCCAGCCTGGTCTATTGAGGGAGTTCCAGGACAGCCTCCAAAACAATATAGAGAAACCCTGTCTCAAAAAACAAACAAACAAACAAACAAACAAACAAGAGACAAGCTTCTAAATCAGAGGGCACAGGTCAGAAACCACTTTTGCCTTGGTCTAAAGCAGTGTTTCTCAACCTATAGATCATGACCTCTTTAGGGGTTACCTAAGACCCTTGGAAAATACATGTATTTGTACTATGATTCATAACAGTAGCAAAATTACAGTTATGAAGTAGAAACAAAATTAATTTTATGGTTGGGGATCACCATAACATGAGGAACTGTGTTTTTGTTAAAGCTGTATTTATTATGTGTATACAGTGTTCTGCCTTCAAGTATGTCTGCAGGCCAGAAAAGGGCACCAGATCTCATCATAGATGGCTGTGAGCCACCATGTGGTTGTTGGGAATTTAACTCAGATCCTCTAAAAGAGCAGCCAGTGTTCTTAACCACTGAGACATCTCTCTAGCCATGGGAACTGTATTAAAGGGTCTAAGTGCAGGGGGAAAGGACCAAGCAAAGAAACGGACCCTGGCCAGGTGGTGTGGTGCACGCCTTTAATCCCAGCACTCAGGAGGCAGAGGTAGGAGGATCTTCGTGAGTTTGAGGCCAGCCTGGTCTACAAGAGCTAGTTCCAGGACAGCTTCCAAAGCCACAGAGAAACCCTGTCTCCAAAAACCAACCAACCAACCAAACAACCAAACAACCAAACAAAACATAAAGAAAAGAAACACACCCTGAGCACAGCCAAAGAAACACACTTTGGCCCTGCAACCATGGCTAAGGAAATAATGCACCACTGACCCTGAAATCAGCGTCAAAGAAACGCACTTTGTCCTTGGAATCAGAGCCAGAGAAAGAAACACACCCTGGCCCTATAATTAGAGCCAAAAGGCTAAAAAAGGACCCGTGAGAGAAATATGCTTCGGCCTTGAAACCAGAGCCTGACTGTGAGCAGAAAACCAACCAATCCTTGAGCACAAGATCTAGCCAGTCTGAGCTCAGGGATTGAGATCTGACCAGTCCCCACCCTGGAAATCTTCTTGGAAAACTCTGCCCCTATGAAGCCCTACCCAAATCCTGTGCCTGTTCAGCTTGTGGCTGTCTGACTGTCTTCTTCCACCCTGGCAGAGGCAGCCACTCTCCTGGATTCTCCCCTTCCAATAAATCTTTTGAATGAAGTTTGGGTGAGACCTTCCTAAGCTGGAATGGAGCAGAGGAGAGTAGTAACAACTTTTTGGTAGAACCAGAGCAGAGAGGAGTTGAGCAGGACTGTAACACTTTTGCAGGGGAAACCTTCCCCCAGTGAAGCAGAGTTGTTACACTACATTCTGGGGGACTAGAGCTGAACTGTTAACAACTTTTCTGGGGAAGCCCTCTCTGTTACACTGGGGAAGCCTTTCCTTGGCTCCCAATTGCCAGAATACCTTTTTATCTGAGCTGTAACACTCAGTATTCTTTGGCTCCTGAGTGCCAGAATACCTTTCCATTTGAACCACAATGCTTACATGCAGCATTAGGAAGGTTGGGAACCACTGCTCCAAAGATAGCAATGTGGTTTCTGTTTCATCAGTCTACAAACTCCAGCCAGCATTAGTCTAAGTCACTGAGCATCCTTCATGCCTAACACAATAACTGGTGTTCAGTAAAAATTTGTCTAATATGTGTAGAGGGGATACCAGGGGACTCTTTGGACTTATTAGGAGGAGAATATTAGAGAATTAGAGATGACCTTAGGAGTGGCAGTGTGCATATCTCTAATGCCAGCACTCCAGGGGGTGATGCAGGAGGATGTGACCTTGAATAAGCCTGGACTACACAGCAAAACCAAAATTAAAATTAGGAGTGAGAACTGGTCTTCCAGGTTTAGAGCAGAGGAGGTGGGGGTGAGTGACACCGTAGAATGTTGCCTCTGTGTCCTCCCTCCCTCCCTCCCTCCCTCCCTCCCTCCCTCCCTCCCTCCCTCCCTTCCTTCCTCCCTTCCTCCCTCCCTTCCTTCCTTCCTTTCATTCTTCTTTCTTTCCTCCTTCCTTTCTTTCTTCCTTTCTTTCTTCCTTCCTACCTTTCTTCCTTTCTTTCTTTCTTTCTTTCTTTCTTTCTTTCTTTCTTTCTTTCTTTCTTCCTTCCTTCCTTCCTTCCTTCCTTTCTTTCTTTCTTCCTTTCGTCTCTTCTCCTCCTTTCTCCCACTGTACTTCAAGTTGGCCTTGAATTCACTATGCTCCTGTCTCGGTCTCCCCAGTTTTGTGTTTACAGACATGTGTAACCTAAATGTCCCCCCTCCCTTTTTCTTTTTTCTTTTCTTTTTTTGTAATGAGTGCTGGGAATTAAACGCACTCTACCACCGAACACAGGTAGCACCATCTTTTTAATTCCTGGTCCCTTTCCTCACATGGCCAGGAGTCTTTTTAATTCCTGGTCCCTTTCCTTACATGGCCAGGAGTCTTTTTAATTCCTGGTCCCTTTCCTCACATGGCCAGAGTCTTTTAGTACCATTATCTGCTTCCTACCCTCCCAGTCTTCCCTGTTGTGCTTGGGATGTGCCTTGCCTCCTGGGTCTCTCCGCTAGTCAGCACAGTTCTCGGAGCCTGAGTCCTCACATCCTGACTCCTTTCCCCAGTGAGTGGTACCTGGTCTGAGGCGCACAGCTGCCTGAGCTGGTTTGGCCTGACTCCCTTGGCTCCTTAGCAGCTTAGCCCTCCCACCTCTTCCCTGAGTCCTCCAGTAAACAAGAGGATCATGACAGAGATGACAGCTGCTGGTGGGGACAAGTGTCTGGGCAGGTCACAGCAGGCATGCAAAGGGGGTTGCATTCACTGTTGCCAATCCCCCTTCCTTCGGGGAAGCTCTAGGGTCTCTTTTCCTGGCTATCCACTGTAAAGACACATTCCATTGCCGTGTGTGTGGGCTCCCTCGCTTTCATCATCTCTATTCCCATTTTGTGGCTGTTTTCTGGCCTTAAACTTTCTGCTTCTTCTGAGAAAACAAGTGACAGATCCAGGTGAAGAGTAACATTTCTACTTGAATAGTGACAACAGACTCTACACATAAATAGAGACATGGGGGCAGTCGTGACATATGATCTAGGCCCTTTAGTGTGGGTGGAGAAAGCTTGGGTTTCAAATGTCCTCCAACGCTGGGCGTGGTGGCACATGTCTTTATAACCTGTACTAGGGAGGCAGAGGCAGGTGGATCTCTGTGAGTTTCAGGACAGCCAGGGTTGTTAACACAGAGAAACTTCTGGAAAAACAAAAGTCCTCCAAAGGCACATGAGTTCACTATTGTCACCATTGGAAGGTGGTGACGATTTCAAGACGTGGACCCTGGTGGGAAGTTTTCTGGCCCCTGGGTGCCTGTGAGGAAAGCAGGGCCTATCCCCTTCCGTTACTTTTCTGTGAGTAGCTTTAAGGAGCATACCTGCCATGACAGCTTGGCTCACTCCAGGCAATAAATGATGGGGCTCAGTGCTCACAGGCTGGCATCTCTAAGGCAACAAGCCAAAACAAGCCTCTTTCCTCTTTTCCCCCTCTGTGTAATAGTTCTGGCTGCCCTGGAACTGACTCTGTTATCCAGGATGGCCTTGCACTCAGAGATCCGCCTGCCTCTGCCTCCCGGGTGTTGGGATCAAGGGTGGGCACCAATTGGCGCACGCCTTTAATCCCAGCACTCGGGAGGCAGAGGCAGAAGGATCTCTGTGAGTTCGAGGCTGGGCTGGACCAACAGCCTCGAAAACAATACAGAGAAACCCTGCCTCGTAAAAACCAAAAAAAAAAAAAAAAAAAAAAAAAAAAGGGTGGGCAGCACTACTGCTCGGCACAACCTTTATCCAATGGAAATCAATTATTCAGGTATCTATTGGAGCAATTGTGTTAGTCAGTTTTTTGTTGTTGTGACAAAGTGCCTGAGAAAAATCAAAGGGGGAGAGATTACTTTGGGCTAGAGGTTTTAGTTTCAGTTGATAGTTATGTGGTTCTGCTGCGTTAGTCCAAAATCTAACATCATGATGGAGAATATATGGTGAAACAAAGAGAGAAGGAGAGAGAGAGAGAGAGGGAGCAGAGAGAGAGAGAGAGGAAGGGCAGGAGAGAGGACGGGAGGACACAGAGAGAACACATACAAATGAACTAAGGAGACAATATACCGTTCATAGGCATATTTCTTCCAGTTAGGCCCGATCCCTATCAGTCAATTAAGTATGAGCTCCTCAACTGATAAACTCATTGATAAGTTTAGCACTCTCATCTGATCACTTCTCAATCATGCTCTTATCTGGGAAACAAGCCTTCAACACATGAGCCTTTGGGGGCTATTTATAATCCGAGCAGTGATGGAAAACTCGTGTAGTGTGGGTACACACACACACACACACACACACACACACACACACACACACACACACACAAACTCATGCACACACACAAACTCATGCACACACACAAACTCATGCACACACACACACAAACTCATGCACACACACAAACTCATGCACACACACACACAAACTCATGCACACACACACACACACACACACACAAACTCATGCACACACACACACATACACAAAAACGAACACACATGCACGCCCGCACAAGATGGGTTGAATGTAGGCATCTGTAGACCAGTGGTTCTCAAACTTTAGTGTCAGAATTGCTAGAAGGGCTCACTAAATCATCGACATCTATATTCTACTTACAGAGTTCTTGACTCTGAGTTTGAGGTGAAGTCAGAGAAAGTGTTTCTTCAAGTTCCCAAGAGACACTGCTATTGGTGACCTGAGGACCACATTTTGGGAGCAACAGTCTTAAGTAATCTGCATCTACTAGCTCTTGTCTGACATATGAGACCAGGGCAAGGTTAATGGTTATAATTGAGGACACTTGGGGCTGACAGAGCCCAGACCTTTCTCTGCATTGGGAAAGAAGATCTATTAACTAGCTTTCTGGATGTCTTCAGGAGGTGGGGATACCCCTTAACGTCTGGAGTTTATTCTAGTGCAGGCCCTATTTAAACAGCTTCAGACAGGTTTAAACATCTCCTTGGCTAAGTCTTAGTATCCCGCTCCAGCTCCTCCTGGGGGATGATAGCCCTAAGAGGTGTTAGGGGATTAGGCTGCAAATGTAGGTCATACCCCAGCCGTCTGGGAATCAGGATGAGTAAGAGAGGAAGAGAGAGGGACCAAGACACACACAGAGAAAAGGTGAGAGGAACAGAGGGCTCCTGAGGGCAGCTACAAAAGCCTATTTGATTAGATTTCAACCTCTTTTGGTGTCCCAAAGAAAGACCAGGAGTCTGGCCTCTCTTTTTCTGTCCCTTCTCTCAAGTGGGGCTGCTTGTCATGGGGTTGGGTTGTTAAGAGCAGGATTCTTTTTTTTTTAAATTTTAACTTTATTTTATATGCATTGGTATGATGGTGTTAGATTCCCCAGGAACTGGAGTTACAGACAGTTGTGAGCTGCTATGTGTGCTGGGAATTGAACCCTGATCCTCTAGAAGAGCAGTCAGTGCTCTTAACCACTGAACCATTTCTCCAGCCCCCAAGAGCAGGATTCTTCACAGAGAAAGTTACTTATCTTCCTAACACAGTGAATCAGAGAAGTAGAAGGCCAGACAGGGTGAAGGTGGGGTGGGTGGCTGAAATTCTAGGGTACTTGAAAAGAGGAAGCAGACCCAACAAGCCCCATGAGAATGGGCTGGGAAGGGGTATACGTCCCACAGCCGTGGGTGGGAAGTGCGGAGTCTTAAGAGATGGGGTTTCTGAGAGCTGGCTTGGACTCCGGCCAGCCCTAGGCTGAGTGACTGGACTGAGGGTTGTGTTCACACAGAGGGTGCTGCTTGGGCCAACTGTGTGTGACTCTTCACACTGGAAACTGAGCACATGTAAGTGTGACCACCAATTAGAAGCTTTCTTGGGGAAGATACCCCTTTTCCTTTCTTGAGAACTGGTGGTACCTGTCCTTCGCTGTCCTCTGCAACTGTCCCAGGCCAATGAGATATGCAAATAAGCCCTTTATCTCATTGGCTGAGGCTTGAGGACCACAGATGTTCTCCGAGAACTAGCCCTTTAAGAGTGCCTTTGGGCTCTGTGCCCACAGCCCTTGTTCTGAATACAGGGACAGCAGACCCTGCTCTATGGAGTCTCTGATCTCTGGGAAAGTGGTGCCTTTCTGGTTCTGACTCTGACTACGTCATCTCTGCCATTCCTAAAGTGAGTATGTCTGGTGACCCCCTGGGCGCTAGGCCTGCCGTGTAGAACCCCTCCTCTGATTCTTGGAGTCTGCTCTCCCTTGTATCTTTTGAGCTCACTCTTCTGCATCCTGTCCCACCCCTACCCTGGCTACTATCATGTCAGAAAGATAAGCAACTTTCCCGGCAGAACAGTTTAACACCCCCTGCCTCTGTGACACCTCTATCAGTGCCTCACGGGCTCCTTTTTGCTGAGGACTAGCTCCTTCTAGCACCTCTGTCCTCTCAGGGTTGGATGGTTCTGCAGAGGACAGCTCTCTCCTGAAAAAGAAGAGAAGCCTTGTCTACCCCTTCAGCCCTCTGGTCAGAGTGTGGAAGTCTGAGAATCAAGAGGCAGCTACGTGCAGGTGCTGGGGATGAGACCCCGGAACTTCCCCTTCTGGGCCTGGGGTGTGCCTGTTGCCACTGGGAACTGGACCAGAGCTGGAACTCTGTAAACTAGTGAGGTGAACATGCGAGAGTTCCTCAGTGTAAATTTGGTACACTCTGTTGAATGATGGTTTGCTTCTTGGATTAATATATTTTCATGTTTATGAATCTGCAAGAGATGAGGATAAGAGGCAGCCTTCCCTAAATTACCTGTGTGAACCTCTTCTAGGGTATTTCTCAGAATCAGCATCCACAGAACACTCTTGGGGGAAGTTTTCAAAGTCTAACCGCCTGCAGTGAACAGCAGGGTCAGAAAGTGAAGGCAGCCTTCTCAAACTCACACTAACATGGCAGGTTCTAGATCAAAGATCTGTCTTCATGGGTTCTCTTTGGAGAGACTGGCCTCAAGGAGAGAGTGGCCACTTGGTCCAAATCTTTCTACAAACTTTTTCCCCATAGAAAGCCTCTTATAGAAGAGATTTGTGTATTGACTAACCCACAGAACAAGTGTGTAACTGACACTGTCCTGAAGGCTTTGAGAGATAAAGATAACAGCACAATATCCTTATACCCTGAAATTCAAAGCATAGTTAGTGTCTTCCCACTGCTCTAACACACACACACACATATACACACAACCATATATAAACACAACACCCCCACAGCCACATACACACACACATACAGACACACACACAGACCATACACACATAAGCATACACAGTCACACACACACACACATAGAGACAATACACACACATACATACACAGTCACATACACACACAGACACATACACACATACATACACACACAGAGACACATACATGGTCACACACGCAGCCACACACAGTCACACACACACACACACACACAGCCACACACAGGCACACACACACACACACACACAGCCACACACAGGCACACACAGACATACAGCCATGCACATATAAACACACAGAGCTGCACACACACACACAAACACACACACACACACACACACACACACAGCCTCAGTTAATTAAGCACACATTTTAATTGCCTGTAAATGGAATGGCGCCTCTGGAGACGACAGAGATTGCTGACTCAGCGTGCCCCAGCACTGGGGTCTCGAGCATGGCCATGTTGCTGTTGTTTTTCACGGGTCCCAGAGGCACCAAAGGGGTGAGAGGCTGTGCTGTCCGTTTTGTCCTTCAGATTCCCAGTTCCTACTGTCTGTCAGTAGCCGCCTGGAAGTGACTGGCAGGGACGACACTGTATTGTTTGTTACTCTGTGGTCCCAGAGCTCGAGCTTCAGGGCACTTGGGTCTTGGGAAAGGGAGTACACTGAGAGGGATAGCAGGCAGCCCCTTGAGAGTTTCAGACTTTCCCTTCTTCTTGCAGGAACACCTGTCTCAGCCTAGTCCCAGAATGGCTCTTCCCCCAAGTCCCCTGGCTATGGAATATGTTAATGACTTTGACCTAATGAAGTTTGAAATAAAGCGGGAGCCCTCGGAGAGCCGATCTGGACTCCCCACAGCCTCACTGGGCTCCACACCTTACAGCTCGGTGCCTCCTTCCCCCACCTTCAGTGAGCCAGGCCTGGTGGGCAGCGGTGAGGGCCCCAGGCCGGGCCTGGAGGAGCTGTACTGGCTGGCCACCCTGCAGCAGCTGGGGTCTGATGAGGTGCTGGGGTTGAGTCCTGACGAGGCCGCGGAGCTGCTGCAGAATCAGGGTCCGGTTCCTGTAGAAGGGCCCCATGGCTACTATTCAGGGAGCGCAGGAGAGACAGGAGTCCAGCATGCCCAGGTGAGTGGCCACGGGGGAAGGAAGTCTTAGGGAGGAAACCCTCAAGAGAGGGAGAATTCTGGAGAGGGTTGTGGACTGGAAAGAGACAAAGGTCCTTGAGAAAACCACATCAATTTTTCAAAACAGTAGGAAATAATTGAATTATGGGGAGCAGAGAGAAGACAAGGATGAGGCCAAGAGTTGTGGTTCACACCTTTAATCCCAGTACTTGGGAGACAGACCCACACAGATTTCTGTGAGTTAGACGCTAGCCTGGTCTAGTTATTGTGTTGGGGGCCAGCCACGGCTACACAGTGAGACCCGGCCGAAAAAACAAAACAAAAGATTAGAAGGGTTCTCAAAGGGAAAAGGACTTAGAGTTTAAGAGCATTGTGGGGGCATGAGCGATTATGTAGAAGCAAATAGATAAGGATGTGTGGAATTTAGCTGGGTAAAGACTGTGGTTGAAGTTGATTTTTTTCAAGGCTCCGTGTTTTCCCCGGAGTCTAACCTTCTCAGAAAGGATTGGGACTCATCCTATTAATTATAGACACAGATGGGGGTTGTTGAGGGCATTAGGATGTAATCCAAATCTTTGAGGGTCACCGGGTTGTGGTGTTCCGACAGGGAAACGTGTCATCTGTGGCAAGGGCAGGATCTGTTTGGGCGAGGGTCCCCAGGACATTGCGGACAGTTGAAGGGTGCGCAGCGTCCAGAGGCACGATTGGTTCGCCAGAGCGCAGGGGGAGGGGGGGTGGAGCTCACACTGCGACACTTGCGGAAGGGCCACGAGGAGTGTGTGTGTGTGTGTGTGTGTGTGTGTGTGTGTGTGTGTGTGTGTGTGTGTGTATCCAGGACGCGTTGGGACTTGGGGTGGGGTCTGGAGGAAGAGCGAGCATGCAGCAGGGACTTCCCCAAGGTCCCACCTGTCTAGCCGGGTGGGACCAGCACCGATCTGATCCCTGCACTCTTCCTTCGCAGCTGCCCGAGAGATTTTCGGACGCGGCTCTGGTATCGATGTCTGTGCGCGAGCTGAACCGGCAGCTGCGGGGCTGCGGGCGCGACGAGGCTCTGCGGCTGAAGCAGAGGCGCCGCACGCTCAAGAACCGCGGCTACGCGCAGGCCTGTCGCTCCAAGCGGCTGCAGCAGCGGCGAGGGCTGGAGGCCGAGCGCGCCCGCTTGGCGGCCCAGCTGGACGCACTGCGAGCCGAGGTGGCCCGGCTGGCTCGCGAGCGCGACCTCTACAAGGCCCGCTGTGACCGGCTGACCTCCAGCGGCCCTGGGTCCGATGATCACGCACACCTCTTCCTCTGAGCCTCTAGGGCAGGGGGTGTGGTGGTGTGGGGGTGTCTGGGTAGGTGGCACTGTACAGGAGAGTATGATTCGCCAAATCGCGACTCATGGTCCTGTGTGTTGATACAAATACCCCCAAACTTCTGACCTTCGTGGCATGCCTGAGGTTAGACGCTCGTCCTTTGCTGGAGATGAGTCCCCTTCCCTTTTGCAGGTCCTGACTTCATGATTAGGGCACTGAATTCTGCAGGGCCGAGGGCCTGTGCGGGAGTGGCGGTGTGGAGGATGGGCCGGCGGCACGATCAGTAGGAGAGGGAGCCGTGCAGCACCGCCCTTCAGTCTAGCTCTTAATTCAAGGTTTTCAACCTGTAGTGCATCGATACCGTAACTGACAATGAAGCTGCATTTTCCCTGAAGCCCGGGACTCCCCGTGTTAGGACTACTGAATTTTCAAGATCTCAGTTCCTCCAAATAGAGTAGTGGGTCAACTCAAGATGATTTTCCCTGCTCAACCCAGTGGCCTTTAGAGTCCAAAGCAGAGAGCAAACACCCTGGACGGGAGCCTGGAGACCTGGGCACTAGTCTCAGCTGTGTCACAGACTACGTCTGTCACCTTAAGCAAAGCGATTGCAGTAGCTTCATCTAACTTTCATTTGGATTGGATGACTTCTGACACTGGTCCAGTTTCGCCATCTTCCACAGTGAGCAGGTCTACGTGGTCTCCCCAAGAGGCCCCAAGATGACCGTACCAAAAGCACTTTCAGTTCCACCTCAGAGTGCACAGGGTGCTCCTGCTACCTCCTGCCGCTCAGAGCAAGGGAGACCAGCAGCTGAGAGAGTGTGGCTTCTGAGAATTAAACCTCAGGCCCAGGAAAAACGAATGTTACTGGTCAAATGTTCCTGCAATTTAAAAAAGAGTTAATTCCCTATCGCTGCGTCATGCTTCTGTCTTGTGTGTCTGTGTGAGAGGGAGGTAGAGGAGAGAAGAGGAGGGAGAGGGGAGACGTGGGGTCGGGGGTCTGCTGTAGCTCAGTGGTAGACTGCGTGCCTCATCTGTGCAGAGAGAGATACTTTACGGAGCTGAGCCGTGTACACCTCAGTTCTAGAGGCCAACGGAAGTGGATTGGAGGGGGTGCGGAATAATCCAGATGGAGCCTCGCCCACCACCACCAAAGCCAGGAGCGGCAGTGGCCCTAGCTAGGCCTGTGTGGGGCTGTCCTCCAGGTCTCACAGTTGCCATGGTAACCCAGCCCTCCAGTTCAGCAACATATGGGGAGGGCCTCTGGGCAGAGCAGAGGCTTTGAGCAGGGAGTGTCCACCTCATCAGCCACTGTCATCTGTCCTCTGAGGGACATAATAAATGGGAGAAGCAGTCCTCTGTGGGGGAAGTAGCTCCCATATGTCTTTCTTCCTTCCTGCCCCCACTACCCACCCCCTGACCAGCTGTCTCTTCTCTTCCCATCACATTTCTGGTTCCCTCTGTCCCCTCCTCTAGCCCAGCTCATCCTTCGTCTATGCAGGGGACTGAGAGAGGAGTCCTTTCCTGCAGCCCTCCTGCCCTTGTCCAGGGGCCTTCCTGGCTGGCTTGGGCTCCTCCCTATGGGGGCTCACAGCATCTTCCTCTTTTATGTTCATTGTTGCTGGGAGAGGCTGGGGCAGAGGGAGACCGCCTGGGATCTCAGCTCTTCTTCCTTTACTCTGTTTCTTTTATCTTTTTTTTACTATGTAGCCCAGGCTGGCCTCAAACTCAGGATCCTGGGTTTATCTTTTTTACTGTGTAGCCCAGGCTGGCCTCAAACTCAGGATCCTGGGTTTACTTTTTTTTTTGAGACAGGGTCCCACTGTGTAGCCCGAGCTGGCCTGGAACTCACTTTGTAGACCAAGCTAGCCTTGAACTCAGCAGTGCAGTCCACCTGCCTCTGCCTTGTGTGCTGGATGCTGGAATTAAAGGTGTGTGCCACCACCCTTGGTCACGCTTTCACTTTCTGGGTGACGGGTTCAGAGGCATGTGCCATACACCCTACCTTTCCCTTACTCTGATTTCACCTGTGTCCTCTTCTGTCCTGTGGAGCATCAATCCAGACCCATCGATGACCTTTCTGATTTGCATGGCGTTGGCACACAAGGGCAGAAACTATCCCCAGACGCTGATGCCCACGAATCAGGCCACAGCATGCACATGCCAGGTCTCAAGATGGCATGTCTGGCACATGCCAGGTCTCAAGATGGCATGTCTGGAGCCTGAGGATAGCGAAGGTGCTGGAGTGGTGAGGAGTGTGGGTGCTGTGGCCAGGCAGCCCCAGTTCTGGCTCTTTCCTGACCTTGGAAGAGTTAAAATAGGAAAATGGAGAAATAGTGCTCTGACTGGATATCATAACACACACAGTTAAAGAGGCCAAGCGTGAGCCGGGCGGTGTGGTGCAGGACCTTAGTCCCAGCGCTCGGGAGGCAGAGGCAGGCGGATCTCTGTGAGTTCCAGAGCAGCCTGGTCTACAAGAGTGAGTGAGTTCCAGGACAGCCTCCAAAGCCACAGAGAAACCCTGTCTCGAAAAACCAAAACCAAAACCAAAACCAAAACCAAAAAAAAAAAAAAAAAAAAAAAAGAAAGAAAAAGAAAAAGAAAAAAAAAAGCCAAGGGCGATGTATGCTAAAGAGGAACACTCCTCAGTAAGAGTCCCTGACTGGACTTCCCGAAACCTCAGGCCACACTCTGGAGGGTTGGGTGTGTGTGGTGCACGAACCCTCACCAGGACAAGCAGGCCTTGCAGATGTTCTCTCTGCATTCACCCCTTCACCTGCCCACAATCCCTCCCTAGCCTGCCCCACAGCTGTGTGGGGGCCGGGGTTCAGCCCCTGGGACACTCAGCGGGGCCTCTCTGGAGACAGTTCTAAGAGAGCATCAGCCTGCCCTCTCGACAGCCCCTCATTTCCATCCCCACCCCCCTGTAATTAACACCCACACAGCTTAGACCCCCTGGGCTTGGGAGGTGAGGGTGGGTAGGGGCTCCTTAAGTCCCACAGGCACACAGTTGGGGGCTGCAGAGATAACAGCCTGCTTGGGGAGCTCTGGCTCAGATTTGGAAGGAGACTGGGCCCTACTTTCTATGGTGTATGTGGGAGTGATGTACTCTCCAGTGGGTCTGAGGCATGATGGGTAGGGGTTGGAGTCCTGGGGGTAGTTCCGTTTATTAACATCCATAAAGTCACAACCACTGAAGGAAGTTATTGAGGTTCCACAGAGTTGAGGGGTGTGGGGCTTGAAGAGATGGGAGCAGGGCCCACCGCTCACTTCCAGGAGGCAGAGATACTGGTCCAAGAGGCAGAGATACTGGTCACTGGAGTCACAAGGGTCAGCACAGGCACCTGAGAGGAGCAGGGTAGTCAGAAGCATAGCGCCAGCCACAGCAGCCAAGACGGCTCACCCAAAAGCTCCACTTTGAACCCCTTTGGCATCCATCCTTTTGATCCCCCATAACTCACTGAGGGACTGAGGGAGTGTTGGTTTGTGGAGAGGCAGTCACGGGCTGGGGCTGGGGGTCACAGCCGGCGTGGAGGGTCTGGGAGCTCCTGGACTGATCCCTTGGCTGGCGTAGTACTCTACCACCTGCCGGGGCACTTCTGCCAGGACGCACTTAGCTAGTGCAGAGGGAGCAGCCTGGGAGGCAAGGAGATTGGTTAGGGGCGGGAGAGTGGGGGCGGCTGGGTCACTGAGCGATGGGTAAGCTTCAGAGTGGCATGCTGGACTCCAGTGATCCTGAAGGACATTGAGAGGACGAGGAAGACAGGTTGGGGGGCATGGATTGTTGAGAAGCCCTGTCACTGGGAGAGAGTACCAAATACTCACATCCTTGAAGTCCCTGAAGGGTACAAACTGGACGATGTCACGGGCTGCAGCCACCCCCTTTGGGCATCGCAGGGGACCATCATCTCCATCCAGCAGCCTCATGTCAGAGAAGTCGGCGTTGCCCACGCCCACGATGATGATGGACATGGGCAGGCGGGAGGCTCGCACAATGGCTGCTCGGGTCTCAGCCATGTCACTCACCACGCCATCGGTGAGCACCAGCAGTACCGAGTACTTCTGAGGGCGAGCAGAGGGGACACGGGTGGATTCTGTATGAAAGGGCACTGATACACTTTCCAAACCCAGGCCCTGACCCTGGCAGCATCAGAGGACCGCAGGGCAGCACCTGGTCATCTGTTTTGCTCCCTCACCGTGGCTTGGCCGGTGCTCTGCTCCCGCTGGGCGGGCTCAGCCACACGGTTGATGATGGGGGCCACGTTGGTAGGGCCATAGAGCTGGATCTGAGGCAAGCAACGGCGGTAGGAGGCTATGACCCCTGAGATTTCTGTGGGGGGAAGAAAAGAGGCGGAAGTCAGCAGAGATCGCTCCAGGCACAGCAGAATGGTCATTGCGGTTTTAGACCTGCTGGCTCCCGGGTCCTCACTAAGCAGAGAGAGAGTCAGATGGTCCTGGGGTGGGGAAGTAAGTGGACAGATGCTGGTCATAGGGCTCTTCCCAAGTGAAGACTGGCCTTGGGCGGGAGGAAGGGACGGGCCAGGGGGCTGAGTGGGAGCGCAGTCTGTGGCCCTGAGGAGATTACAAGCGTCTGTGGTGGCGCAGGTTGGTGGGACTCTGCCAGCTCACCTTCACATTCAGGATTTTCTGGGTCGAAGTTGATGGCAAAGTCATGGGACACCTGTAAGAGTTAGGTGAGACAGTGAAGGGACATCTCTCTGACTCCCTGCCATCTTCCTGTCTCTCGTACCCAGCCTACCTCAAAGTTTGGGGGGATTCGAGCTCCGAAGCCAAAAGCTGGGAACCGCTTATCACTGGAGAGAAGAAGATAAAGAAGCTGTGACACTCCCGGACAAGGCCTCCCTTCCTGACCCAGGCTGCCCCTACCTGTCATAATCCTGGCAGATGCCTCCCACTGTGCGCAGGGCCTGCAGGTAGTGGTTGGGCTGTCGAGGGCTGAGACAGTGCAGGGATTGGCTGCTCCTTGGGTCCCCATTGGAGGCAGTGAAGTCGATGGCCACCTGGGAAGACAAGGGTCGTACTGCAGCCGTGAGAACCAGCAGGCAGGCTAGGCCAGAGCTGGAATATGTTAGAAGAAACGAGGAGAATCTAGGGGAGCCCATAGGCAGCCTCACAGTTGGGTGGGGTGTTGGATGCAAGCTAAGGGCTGAAAGACTCTGGCCTCCTTCATTTTGCATGGATTTAGCCCCTCCCTCTGCCCCCCCCACCTCCCGCACCGGGGGGGGGGGGTGCTTTACCGTGAAGCTGATCTGACAGCCACCCATGATGTAATCCAGGAAGGTGTGTACTTTTTCCACCTGGCAGAAGGGCGGGGGTAATGAGGTGGGTGAGTCGGTCCTTTGAGGTGGGAGCTCTGGCCAGGCTTCATGGGGAAAGTGGGGGAGGGAGGGATACTAGAGTCTTAAAGTCTGCAGCGGAGGATGGGATGGAAAAAGGGTCTCCAGTTCAAGTCTTTAAAGCGAGGGAAGGACAGACAGACAAACACACTAAATAAATATATGTAAAAAGTAAACAGCTGGAGAGATGACTCAGTAGGGAAAGGTGCTTGCTGCTGCCAAACCTGAAGATGCGGGCTTGATGCGTAGGACCCACGTGGCGGAAGGAGAGGACCGGCTTCCTAAAGAAGTTCCTCGACTTCCACGCGTGCTCTACGGCACTGGTGTGCCCACACGAGCACACCCCGAAAAATAAACGCATTTTTTCCGCACTGCTTTGGAGCCTTTCCTGGAACTCTCTCTGTAGACCAGGCTGGCCTCAAACTCACAGAGATCCGCCTGCCTCTGCCTCCGAGCGCTGGGACTAAAGGCGTGGCAAATGTAATTTTTGCTTTTTTTTTTAATTAAAAAGCAAGGTAGGCATGGATCTGAGATTGTGGTGGGGCAGGCGCAG